AGAAGATCTAGGTTTCTGGGATGTTATGGGCCAATCAACTACTAAAGTTTTGCACAAAGAATCAGTGTTACTATTGAAGATTGCTCTAATAAGGATGAAACGGGTTTTATTCCCAGGTGACATTTAATGGGTTTGTTATGCATCAAGGGGTAATCATGGAACCGCCTCTGAATAAATGTCCTCCATAGGAGACAGTCTCATTTATCCAGGAGGCTTTGCATAACCTTAGAACTATGCAAAACCTAAGCCCCCAAAAAGCACAGCCACAAGAAAAGTGCTGCAACACATAGACAGTATTATATTCTTTATTTGTTTATTTAGCACAGCATCTAAGTTTATCTCTAGCTTTGCTAATTTAAAAGTTACCTTTTGATTGATCAGAAGGTTGATCCTGGTTTATCGTTACTTCTTTTTCCTACCAACCAAGGAACCAGGATAGCAACAGCTGGATTTTGCATCCATCCAAAAATGGATGAACAACAATCGACTGCTACCTTCTCGCTTCTAGTGGTCATGAAGGCATGGACCATGTGGCAGAGGCATATTACCCATCCTGAATGTCTGCATACCCTCCTTCCCCTTATCATTGTAAGAGTCTGGCTATGTAAACAAGGACCTGGCTCACCTGTATCAAGAGCCCACCATGGGTGAATTCCCTGCAAAGCTTTTCGTTGCAGCTCCCTGCACGGTTTTGAGTATCTGTGGCATGGTGGGAGCATGCTGTGGTTTCCTGTTACATGTGAATCTAACAAAGGCAGGTCATCAGGGTGGTTGATGCGGGACCCAAGACCCACAGGCTATTTTATGCATGCAGGTGGCTTGTCAACTCTTTTTTTTTTTTTTTTTTGCCTAAAGAGTGGCAAGAATGGACAGCTTGGGGGAAAGGCTAAAATATGTAATTGAAGGCAATCACACCCATTCTCATGAGTTCAATGATGTAATGATACATTATGAAGTGCAGAAGTTCATCATGAACATGTATATATATGTACATCTCAGAGACTAGTAGAACGCACTGTAATACCAATTTATTAGGTTCAGTATCACTGTAATCCTATGCTTACCTGGGAATAAATAAAACTTGAAAGCCTCCTTACCACTTCATTAACTTGCCAGAGTAATGGAAACCCATCAGTTATCCTGGTACCGACAGGTTATTTCATACCTCCTGCACTGAAAAATATTCCCAAACTGTACTTCCCATTGCTGTTTCCCCGTCCACTACAACACAATGAGAGAAACTAACTTCAAAACTAAGAGACATCAATCCTAATAGGTTGAAAAAAGAAGCACTTGATCATACAATAAGGCACTAGGCATTGGGATAAATTTGAATTCCTGGTAATGGATATATAATTTGCTGCTTCGTGTTTCAAAGAGCAACATGGAAAGGCTGAAATTTGCATGGGAAGAGGATCTGTAGGAGTCTTTGTAAGAAGGGAAAAGTGAACATCTGGTGACAACAGCCTTTTAAAACAATCTCAGCCTGGCTTACAGAATACTAGTTGAAAGTAGTCCACCATTGTCAGTTGTTCTTCATGAAAGTGCACCACATTTATTTAAAAACAAACAAACAAACAACTGCCTAATATAGGCAGGAGTAAGGAAATGTAATTTGTTGAGTTGTATCATTAAAGGCCAATACTGAGAATGAATTTGTGGTGAAATCAACAAAATACTTTACAGTATAGTATGTTTAACTTTCCTTCCAAATTACCTCTATTAAATATTTTTGAAGGAGATCTACAATATTCCTCATATAACAAAAACATGCGATTGTTTTCTTGGCAACCCAAGTGGAAATATCTAGTCACTGGAAAAGCCCTCAGTTGCCAACTACTTAACAGTGTTATCAGTATGTTTGGAATTTAGTACTAACAGCTAACTTTATATACCAAGTGTGAGTTTCCAATGCACTTGATTGCTCAGATTCTGTTGCTGAACAATAGTTATCTTTCATTTCATTTCTTATATGCCAGGGCCCCCTAGGTTAGAAAGCATGCAAGGCTCAAGGTCAGAGCAAACCTACTAGGGCTGTGGAGCCTGAGACAATCAGAGATTCAGAAAAGAGGCAAGGCAAGGCAAGGCAAGGCAAGGCAAGGCAAGGCAAGGCAAGGCACCAGGAGTCTATTCACAGTAACAGATACATAGATTGGGGACCCAGACTTAGGAGAATTTGCATATAAACACATGCAAAGCAAGCACCCATCCAGGTGCTCGGCATGCTGATGGGAACAGAGTCCACTGAGAAATGGGTGTGCACAGAAATTAATACCCTCACATGCATTTCCCAGTAGAATTTCTGCTGGGAAATGGGTACACAGGTATGTCTGTACTTGCACAATTGTTTCCGAACAGAATTTTCTCCCTTCAGCCTGCCAAATAGCCATGGGGGTGCTTCTTCTGCTTCAGAATAAGTCATGCAGGGAGAATCATCCCTGCTTGCTGTTTTTGTTTTCCAACAGAATCTCCTCAGGTGAGTGAAGACAGTTCTCCTTGCTCACCTGTTTGCTTTCCAGCAGAGGCAAGCAGCTACGAGCCCCCCCCCCCCCAGCACCTGACTGGTGGGCTGGCAGGAGCCCAGTTTTCTCACTATACACAGCACTTTGGGAAGACTCTCCTGTGCATCCCATCTAGAATGGATGGCAGCAGTTACAGGAGAGGAATTGGCATGGCAGCCCCCAGGGACTGCATGTTGGAACCAGATTTCCAATTGGTTTTCCAGTTACCTGATAGCTGGCTCTCTTTCTCCCATGGTTAAGTTGGTGCTGTGCAAAACCAAGGCGCAGGCCTTTTTCCTGGATCTGTAAGTTGTCCTGCTCATTGAGCGAATAAGGTACCTGGGCACTGGTTTGTGGTTTGAGCCCATTGGTACCTTACAAGAGGGGTGGGGAACCAGTTCCTCTCCAGATGACATCACCCATGATATCGGCCATTTTTGCAGAGCTTGTATGGAGCAGTCCACCAACATTTGGAGAGCCACAGGTTCCTTATTCTTGCCCCTCAATATCAAAACATCACCCAACTATATTACAAGAAATGCAAATCTTTCTGGTTAATATAAACAATTCTTTTTAAAATATATAAATGTTGTAGTTTTTTCATTCCATAACTCCCAATGTGAGCTATAGTCTGATTTTTCTCTTGCTTCTTAACCAGAACATACCCAGAAATTATCAGAGAAAGCAAGTTATATCCTGTTAATGACTGAACCTTTTCTATATTTCATACAAATCCAGATCCCACTGACGCAAGGCACTCTGCCACAATGACTGTCATTTCTTTGATCATTCTCTGGCCATTCACACTTGTTAACATCAGTTATCCAATAGGATGAAAGGCTCAAGGGAGAGGACTGAGGTAGTATCTGCTGCTGAGAGACAGTAATTAACAAAGGGAATTATAACTGTATATGAACATATCCATGCTCAACAAACAAGCTGCTTTTTAGGTCTCAGAAATATGGAACTGGTCAAGCTGGAGCACAATCCAATTAATTAGAAGGCTTCCAAGTTTCCAAAGTGCTGCTGGACTGAAGCCAGCAGAATGAGTGAAATGAGAAAGGCAATCTTCACCTCTCTATCCTGTGATCATCTGCATTTTTCCTAGATGGGTATTTTTAGCCAATCTAGCCAGGTGCTTTGGAGGAGAAGGTAAAGAGGTCCATGTTAGTGCGTATCCATCTCCCTTCCCACCATTCTCACTGAAACACCACTTTCCTGAGAATCCAAGGTCACTTTTCTGACCTCCGCGGACAGCCAGTACAGTTCTTTCTGCACCAGCTATGATCTGGGGTTGGATCTCCAATTCCCCCTTCCCAACACAGTGTGCTGTCTCTAACCTTGGAGGAGTGTAATGAGCTCCAGGGACTGTAGGATTGTTCCTTTAATTGAACAAACATAAACATCCAGTTAATGTTCTTCACACATAGCAACTGGTTTGCAGCTAGAGGGAAGGTTCTGTCTCACTTGTCAAAGTCAGGTTTCATAGGATCGGGATGCCTAGCCAATGATATTCACCTTGCCCCATCCTATTAACTTTCACTCAGAAGTAAATGACATTACATTGGTATGTCAGAGAAATCCACAACAGATCAGATGAGCTCAGATTTCTGTGAATTCAACTTGCAGATTCTGTAGCAGTCCAGCTTTCTCTGACTTACACAGATTTTGTAGATTTGGAGAACATTTTGTTTTTTATTTTTTACTTGGGGGAGGGATTTGCACATTTGCAAACAGGAATGACATTCTTGTACATCCTTTAAAAAAATCTGATACTGTTAATTAGCAGATGATAGCATGACAATCTGCAAAACACAGATGGAGCGTATTTAACAAAATCTGCAGATCACAGTCACTGAGTTCAACACATATTTATTACTGTGGCCCCAGACCTACAATATCATGGACATATTAGCAAAACTATTGTAAACAAGAACTATTTGAATCAGGAAGCATCAACCAAGTTGCTTATAGCTGGAAAAGGTCCAATAACAACTTCAGGTATATCTAAAGGTTTGAGCATGTCCACTGGAATATTTTACTTTCTTTACTTTGTGCCTAGGTAATTAGTTGTTCTTTGTATCCATTCATAGCCCATCTCCTGAATATGTTTGATAATGTTCAATATAACTAGTACCTTATATCTTATAGGTGAAAAATAATTATTGCTTTTGGGGAGGCAATTGCATAAATGAAATTTCTGCATATTATCTGGAGTTCTTCAGTTACTGAACATTGGCTATAAATACAAAAAAACAGAAATGGAAAATACAGGATACATCATACTGTGGACCCTGCTATCTAACCTGTTTTATTGTTTGCAGCAGTCTTGGATAACACCAATTACAGAACATTACAGAACATGCTACAACAGTGCAGATGTCAGTTACTAATAATTAGAAGTACAATAATGCTTCACCTTAAATAAACCAGTATTTCTGAATTTGGGACACTGTATATATTACAAAGCACATCATACAGATAAAAGAGCCAGGTAAGTTTGCTGAATGTTGAATTTTATTTATTATATTTTTGAATGACAGATATGCTAACAATGTAAATCCATCCATCATGTTTGTTTTAACTGTTATAAATATGCCAAAATAAATATAAAACATAAACATTATTTCTAATCAAGATGCCTTTGTTTATATAAACATCAAGTAGTAAACAGTTGTTAATCATGAAATGGAAATTAAAGAGGAGCAGCACGTATTAGCACTTTCCCAGACTCTGGAATTAATAAGCTTCTTCTACAGCAAAGAAATTCCATCTTCAGCTGTTCAGCACAATATTCCCCCTTCCCAAATTATCTTGAAGTGGCAGCAAATTACCTCACTTGCCTTTCCTAAGGTTTAGGTATTGTTTGATGGTTTGTTTGTGCTCTCCTGAGAAATGGAATGAGAATGCAGGTTCAGACCTAAAGAGGAGGAAAAAGGGCTTGTGCACAAAATGTTAAGGTAGGTTTCAGAGAAGCCTTACACAATACAGTTTGCTTGTAAGCATCCCATGGACTTTCCCCCACAAACTGGGTTAGCTGTAGTTTTTTGAGGGTCTTCAGATAAAGTCCTTGGACCCTCTCCCCCAGCGAGTATACCTTCTCATGGCATTCCTGCCAGCTGCTCTGTCATTGCTGCTACCACTTGCAGACTTGCCAGTCAGGGAGCCAATGGGCAGGCAGGCCATACCATTCCTACTCCTCCATCTCACCAACACCAATGCCTGTGACAAGGGGACAGGCAGGTGAACACACCGGCTGCAAGAGCGAAGAGGAGGAGCAAGGCCAGGGGGTTCATGCCCTTGGCTGTCAACCTTTTAAGCTGGTCCTGCTTATACGTCTAAATATTCACAGGATCAGACCGGAAAGCACAGGATCCAGATAAGAAGGCTGCAGTCCTGTGCACACTCATGTTAATAAGCTGAGGCTGCCCTGTTTCTGCATACAGATGCATTTCACTGGAACAGTGCACGAGCACATCAATTCTGACTATCGTTTAGAGCAGGGGTTTGTCCTTTTCATGCACAGCCTACCTGGTATTTCTCTGTGGTGCAGGAAATCCTGCCACGCTGTGGCCAGGCTGGCGTAGGACGGTGGGTGAGTAGATCATAATGTGTATCGCACGCAGATGCGCCGGTGTGTCAAGAGGGCTAGGACATCGGGCCTTGCTGTGACGCGGCTGGACTAAAGACGGTGGCGCGTCTCGACTTCTACGGCTCGGTAAGAATGCCTCTGTTCCCTCGCAGGCCAAAGCGCGTCGTTTCACTTCGCGGGAGCGGCTCGCCGAGGGGCGGGCGGAGAAAGACTTGTTCTGCCTCTGAAGCGGGGAGGAAAACTTGCTCCCGACGGCAGACGGCGCGCCCTCTCCTCGGAGGACAGGACAAAGCGAAAGCAGCGAGCACGGCGGCCGCGGCTCCCCGGCTGCAGGTAGGCAGGGCTCGTCCTCTCTTCCTCTCACCGGCTCAGGCCCTGCTGCTGGGAGAGGAGTAACCAAGGCGCCCCGCCCGAAGGGCAGGTAGGCGGTTCAGCTCGGCCTTTCTGCCAGCCTGGCTGCTCGGGAACGGAGGCGGGCGAGCCGAGCAAGGGCTCGGGCTGCGCGCCTCGCCTTCCTGCCGTCGCGCACCCCGGAGCAGCGGGCCTGCGGTGAAGTTGCTGCCGGGTACGGGAGTCGGGGGGCTGCGGCTCGTGGCGGGGAGGAAGGGCACGCGCACGCGACAGCGCCGCGCGCGAGTGGCACCGCGTGGGGGCCTGGGGAGGGGAGGGAGCGGGAGGAACGGTGCCTCGACATGGGAAGGAATGCGCGCCGCGGAGGAGGGCGATCGAGCGCGGGCGAAGGACAAGGACTGGGGTAAAGGAGGCGAACGGGGCGAGTGGGAAGCGGTGTGTGAACGGCGGTGCTGTGCGAGGCGGGAGAGAGGCAGCCCCGCGGCGGGGGAAGGAGGAGGAGGAGGAGGCGGGGGAAGGAGAGGCGAGGGGAGCTCTCCTCGCCGAGTGCGCCGCCCCCGTGTTCCATCCACATTCAAGGCCGGGTGCCAGGTTCCTTGCCTGGGGAGCCGCGGGAGGGAGGCGAAGCGCCGGGCCACGGAGCCTTGCGAGCGCAGGTGTGCGGGCTGCGGATATCAATAATTGAGGAGCGCGCCCAGCTGGCCTCGCGGGGTCCGGTTTCTTTGCCTGGCGCAAAATATTGCAAGATGTTTGGTCTCTTGCTAGTGCTTGAGGGCGGGAGTTGTCTTTTTCTAACTGTGTTTCTTGTCCAAAAAAGCCTCCTTTTATTTGTGGGCATTCATGCGTGTGTAATATGAGTGCTTTTCGATACTCGTCCCTTTCAGCGCCTGCACTTATCCCTTCCAGAACCTCACTGCGTTATATATTAATTAGGCATAAAGTTGATAGCTTACGATTCCCACATCTAATTAAATGTGCGCACAGAAGGGGTTGGCCAGGAGGGAGAGAAGAAGAGAATATCAAGAGAGATTCAAGCCAGGAGGTTTTTCTACTTAAATAACGGATACATATTTGGATGGCATCTCTTGTTCCGTCATGAAAAGTGTGTCTTGTGGTGGGCATGCAGACAGCGAGCTAATGCTTTCTTCACAAAATAAATCCTAAGGCTGTACTTAAAAAGGCGCAGCTCCTAGCTGTTTTTCAGATAAATATTCCAGCATAATCAGTTATCTTTGAATGCATTCATGCTGCACAAATTTTAGGAAAGAAAAAGGGACCATATCAAGGCCATCTTTAATCCATGGAGCAGCTGTTATTTATAGGTATTTTTCAACTGCTGTTATGCAGCTGAAAGTGCTTTATGCAAATATTTGGGCTTTGACGGTGCTCTAGGAGTGAGTTTAATGTCTAAGAGTGAAGAGAAGATGTGAAAGAAAACGAAAGGGAAAATAAATTAAACCTATGGCCTACCCTTCCCCTTGCACTTATATTTCAGTTCTTCAATTGATACTATACCTTCCGGTAGTGTAGGACATAAGATTGTCCTGGAAGGACTGATAAGCATTATAAGCTAATTAACATGCTAGGGTGTTTATGTTCTCAACAGTGCTTTGTGAATGTTCCTTAGAACATCTGTACATTTTGCATCTCATTTTCCTTTTAACATGTTTACATATCTCCCCTTCCCCCTGTGTGTGTGTGTGTGTGTGTGTGTGTGTGTGTTTAGGATAATACTCCATGTATCTGATGAAGGGACTCTTTAATACCTGAAACCTTATTCAGTAATAAACTTATTTGTCTTTAAGGTGTCAGAAGACTCTTTGTGGTTTTTGCTGCAGTGGATTAGATTAACATGGCTACTGATCTGGAAATACGGAGATGGAAGGGATAGTAAAGACTATCTAGTCTAGCTTTTTCATCTGCAATGCAGGATGCAGCCACAGCAGTCCCTTACAGATGGCTTTCCAGCCTTTGCCTATATATCCCGTGAAGGATAATCCCTCACCTCACAAATCACAGCTGAACACTCCCAGTATTCGGAAATTTCTCGTTATAATGCTTGACCAAAATCTGCTTTCCTCACATTTCAACCCACTGGTTATAATTCTGCCCTCTGGAGCAGCAGAGAGCAGTTCTGCTCCATTTGCTGCATGACAGCCTTTCAGGTATTTGAAGATCGTTATATCTGTAGGGTAAGGATAACCAGCTCTCTCATTCCTTATAGGGCATGGCTACTACGTTAGGGAACACTGTCTAGGGGCCATAGCATAGTTCAGATTGCCATGCTTGGAGCTGGGAATTAGAGCTCTGACTCTCCCTCTGTCCAGCCCCATTGCAGTTGAGGTGGAAAGAATTGCAAATACTGCCTTTAAAGGTCAGGAAGGCACTCTCAGAGAGCAGTTGGGGGGGGGGGTAGGTAGAGGAGGAGATTGGGGCTGTCAAGACACAAGGTATCCTAAACCTGCTCTAGTCTCTCTCCCTCTACCTCTGAGGTGTCATCTGGTGAAAATGCAGAGTTGGAGGAATAGGGTGGCAAAGGTTTCTTCTACCACTAACATAAAAGAACAGCTTCTGCCCTGCATTGGATGAGCATGAGCTTCCAGGTTCAGGGGCTCATGCACACCTCAATAAGATTGTGTCCTGGTCTCTCTTCTGTAAACGAATTCCAGTTGGTAAACAACTTTCTTCAAATCTGTTGCCTAGAATTGGATGTGCTTCTCCAAATCAGCCTGGATAAATACAGGATAAAGCAGAACTTGCTGTGTTTGGGTTACTGCAGCCTAAGATTGCATGAAATTTTAAAACAGCTACATCATACTGCTGATTCCTTAAGCTTGAGATCTAAAATAACTAGATCTTTCTCACAGGTATTTATTTAAAAATATTTCAAAGCCATCTTTAAGGGTGGAACCCTCTTAAAGTGGTATTCAAGATTAAAAAACACCCAAGTATATAAATAGGCAGTACATGTATAATAAAATACCATAAAACAGTATAAGATAGATTATACAATATTTTGCCAACAAGCCAGGTTTCTCCCATGCTGTACTTGTGTTTTGGATTTTGTGTTTTTTACCTACATGCAAGATTGCTGAATTTCTTATTATTTTGGCCCTGTGTCCCACACTATTAAAGTAACTTTGAATGTTGATCTTTTTTACTATGGTGTTACAATGGCTCTTGGGACTTTGTCAGCTCAAGTTAGTTCCTACCTGGCCTATTAATCATAACTAGTAATCTTAAACAATGCAAACTGTCAATGTCATATTCTTTAGGTGGAAACATTTCCTGAAACTGTCTGCTGTTCATTCTATATAAATATAAATTATAAATATTACAATCACTCATCACCACAAAAAATCTGATTTTTAGAGTATCTGCTAGAAACAGCGAGAAGAGAAAATTCTGATTCTGTGTTTGTAGAACAGGTTTTTCCTTTTTTGGGGTGGGGGGTGGGGGGCTTAACTTGCCAATCTTCAGTTCTGGTTATCTGCCTTTTGCTAGTTCAAATGAGTTAATGGTAGCTCATACTGACTTTGCTGTGATTAGTTTCCAAACCTTCTTCTTCATTCTGACTTATGACATTGTCTGAGGAGTGCACCATATCGAATAAAATGGAACTACAGGATTTCACTGCTAATTACGTGGTCTTGCCCTGGTGGTTCCTTTTAATATGTCAGAGCAGGAATTCTGTTCTAATTATCCTTAATTTCCTATCATTTCCATTTTTTCTAGGAAGAACCAGTGTGAAGGGTAGACATTGTTGGCCTTTCTTCTTACTTTTTCACCATTCCTCCCTGAGCATGCACGCAGTTACAAGAGTGAGGAGTTGGAGCAGTGTCTACTCTTCATCTTATGCTTTCTTCCTGGAAAGTTGCATGCAGAGGCAGAAGACTGTTGAATAAGCCCCTGTTTCGGTGAGGAGGAGAAGTTTGGCCCACGCATAAAGAGAACATCAAGGCCTGGAGCCAGCACTGCTTCTACACATAAACACTCTTCTATTATAACAAGAACAAATGTTTAAATCTAGTACCTATATGTCTATGGATGTTTTCTGCATAGTAATGAAGTATGTATCTTAAAATTAGTATTTCAGCAGTTCTTTGGCAGGGCATGCTGGCACATGGCTACAGTACTATAACACTATCCAGTGCGGCTACCTGCCTTCATCCAGGCTTAAAAGATTATGGGACGTCCCAGGATGAATGCAGGATGAGCATGGAAATGATGATTTCCTGTGTGCCTCTCCTGTCCTGTCTCGCCATGGCTCATGGGAAGGACAGGCCAAGGTGCCATTAGAATGCATTGTCTCTAAATTATTATTATTTATGACAGCCATACTGGCTAAGGATTTGGGATAGAAATCCAACAAACAAAAAACAAGATTTTGATTTCATCTTTTTTTCTTTTAAAGAATTCAAAGTGGTTTACACCTCCTCCCGCTCTCAGTCGTATCCCCACAACAACAACCCTGTGAGGTAGGTTGGGCTGAGAGTCTGTGACTGGTCCAAAGTCACACAGTTGGCTCCATGGCTGAGCAGAGACTAGAACCCAGATCACCCGAGTCCCAGTCCTGTGCTCTTACCCACTACACCACACTGGCTCCCAGTGGAGCCTCACTCCTCCTCTCCTAATGCCTAGAACTCCGGCCCAATGCTGGCCTCAAGGTTGGTCTTTGAGCCTCAGAGCAACCACATAAGCAAGAACTGCATCAGCTGTGAGGGTAGGAGGAAGGTACTCCGAGGTCAGAGTACCAGCTTTGGAGCATGTTACTGAGGCTCAGACTCTGGCCTCTCCTGTGGCCATACGGACAGTGTCTAGCAGCGGCAGGATTGCATCTCTAGTCAGTTAGGTAGCCATCTAAATATTGGATCAATTGAAAAAATACCTCAGGTTGTGCAGGCTGATTTTTTTAAAAATACATAACTTATGCAACTACTTACAAAAACTGGGAGCAAGGGGAAGGCAAATCTCACTGTCCCTGCACATGGCACGAAATGCTTTTTTTTAAGAGCATTGCCCAGGGTTTAGAATTACCTAAGTGCACTACTGCATAACCAAAACCAGACCACTCTCCCCCCATCAGACCCACTCTGCATAGTTTTGCATAATTAACAAATTAAAGTCAAATGTTTTTCAACTATGATTGCTTCAATGGATTACATCCAAGCATATCATATATTTGGTCGGGTCACTGTAGAACTATATATCTCCACTTGTTAATTTGCAGCATGACCTGAAGGCTGCATTCGTAAGTGTGCTTATATGTGTCACTGAACATCCTAACTCACACGTGTATGCATATAGGTGTATCCAACAGGTGTGAAATAAATCTTTTACCAAGGCATGGTCCCCATGTGGTATTGGACCACATGTACTTGAGCGAAATGGGGAAATTAGTTCAACTCTGACAGTTGAAACATAGAATTTTTATTTTACTGTAAAAGTGAAACACAGTGTGGAAAAAAATTGATTAGTACACCGACTCTCTAGCCCTAGACAAGCAGACTAATATTAACAGGAATGATAGAACAAGGCAGGAAATTAAGGCTCGTCAAGTAAGGAATGTGGAGAGGACTGGGAAAATACCAAGGCAGGACATGGGAAAGGGCAGCCACACTGAATTTCTGTCTTCTAAAACCCAATACAGAGAAAGATGTGTGCACAGATGCTTCTGCTGTGACCTGATCTCTTTCTTGGATCAGGAAGTATGTTTGTAAATTGTATGCACATCTAGACCCACGTCTGAATACAGAGGGCTATCAGCAAAATACTGCTTTAAATAGGATATTCATTAGGATTCATATTGATGTTGTGACTACTCTCACTACAGCCATGCCCACTTCTCATAAAATACAGCCTGCAAAGTTGTTGCCTCAGAATCTGAGTCAGAGCTGTAGGAAGAGGTGGGTTTGGAATTTTTAATTGAAATGGCAAGGCCAACAGACCAGAGATAAGCCAGGCATCTGCTGAGAACCAGACAACAAATAGTTTGGTAGGCAGCCCTGTTAAGCATGCTAAGCTGGATGGGGCAGGAGTGAACATTATTAGTAATTGCCTGGTGTCAGATCAAAAGGGAAGACCGGTTGAGTAGCAGATTAAAAGGGAAGACTGAGTCGTGTCAGATGTTCCCTGTATGAACTGTGCTGAAGATGGAGCCAGCTTCTTTTGGCTGGGAAGGAAGGAGAAGTATTCAGGTGGGAATCAGTCTGGCTGGCCAGACTTAACATGATAAAGACTTCAGTGAGAAAGCCTTTTGCCCCAATCTGCAACTAGTCCAGCACAGTTCAGATGCACACCGCAGGCGCACTTGGGAGAGCCTTCTGTTCAGTCATAACCATGCTCACTTTTCCTCTGCTTTAACCTGGACTGGGTCCAGTCTTGGAACTGGAACCATCAAGCCCTTGATTTCCATTGTTTTCAGCCCTATAACTGCCTTGTTGATGCTCTTTTTTCTGTTTGGGTATCCCTCATATTGATGTGTCTCAATATTCCTTGTTACCATGTCCTAGCAGTATTCTCTGCTCTACTCTTATTCCCATCCCACACAGAATCACACTCTCTCCTGTTCCATTTGCCCAGATAGATCAATTTTCCCCATGTATTTAAAGAGAGAACCAATGAGCAGTTCAGAACCTTTGGCTTTGTTCCATTAAACATATTTTAGCATGCTGTCCATTCCAGACCGTTAACTGTGATTAGTATTAATTATGGTTGTTGTCTGAATCAGAATCTGATTCTCTTAAGGCACTGCAGGCAAGTGGTTCTTAGGTCTGGGAATTCGACATTGAACCGTTCTGAATGGAGCTGCTCTCCTGCTGAAGGAACAGGTTTGCAGTTCAGGAGTGTTTCTGAATCTAACTCTGTCATTGGAGGCCCAAGTGACCTCTGGCTGGGAGCATCTACCTTATGCCTAGGCTAGCATGCCAGTTACACCTGTTCTTGGGCAAAGATACTTGAGCCACTGTGATCCATGCACCAGGAATCTGCAGACTGGATTATTGTAATGTGTGCTATGTGCGATAGGCCATAAGGCTGGTCTGCAAGTTGCAGAACACAGCAGGATATTTATTTGCTGGAGTGTTGTATTACACACACATTATGCCTGTGCTGAAAGAACTTTGTGGGCTACTAGTCTGCTACCAAGCTAGTTTAAAGTGTTGGTACAGGAGCTCAAGGAACATGTTCCCCTACCAATTTTCCAGGCTATTAAGATTTTCAGGGGAAGGCCTGCACAGGTTTCAGTTTGGCAACAACGTGGAGATGGGCCATCACACTGTGAAATGATCTCCCCTTTTTGATGCTGGCATGTTTTAAGTATTTATTGAGAATGTATCTGTATGCTTTGGCCTTCCCACAGGCTCGAATTTTCTTTGTAGGAGCCTTCTGATAACTAGTGTGTTATGTGTAATCTTTTCTGTTTGTTGCTTTGTTTTGCTTTTATTTTGTAAACTGCTTCAGAATTTTTTTCAGATGAGAAGTGCTACATAAATATTAATCATCATCAATCACACCAGCTTATTCAATACATTAAATTTTAACTGGAAGGGAGAGCTTCCAAAGAGCTTCTTACTTCCAATTTAGATTTAACACAACTTATTGTAGAACCTGGCTTGTTTAAATGGTGAGAATGAATACCAGGACCCACAGGGAAGATTGAATCACCTTGAATCCCAATGTTTTTATTGGTGAGATCAGCCAGGCCCCCTGCACTTACTTACAACAGCATGCTACCAGGTAGTGGTCTCCATGGCCAACTACAAGCTTTTAGAACATACACAGAGTTTTTTTTATAGATTCTGAGTCATGTGGGCCCAGCAGCTGGGCAGTTGATAACAAAATAAGGTGATCACACCCGGAAGTTAAGAGGTCTGTAGAGGGGGCTCAATACAATGGCATTTGATTGCAGGATAGTAACATAATGATCACTGAGGCACAGAGATTACTGTGGATCTTGGCATGCAAATGAGGGTGATTGCAATGTTCTTAACCTGGCAGTCGTATCAGCTCTTACTGATCAGCAAAAACAATAGCCCTGGAAGCTTCTCAGGGAAGCTATAGATCCAACTTCTTAATTTGGGTGCTTTCTGAAAAAGGGGTGTAGGCATTCTTATTACACAAAGGCACATATAAACAACCCTTTTCTGCCAGGATTTATCTGAATTTTCCCAGCACACACAAAATATGGTTGTTAGAGTAGAACTAGACAACTAGTTCAAATGCTCTAGACTCTCCTTAAGTACTTAAGCTTTATAGAAGAGTTCTTCTTTGGTAGATCATAGTGACATCTGAAGCAGGAAGTTATGTTCTAAGCTCTACCCATAGTACAGTTTGAGGCTAGTTTGCAATCTTGATTTGTAAGGAGCGCTTAGAGTACAGTTTAAATCACAATGTACTGGGATGTTCAGTTCCTTTGAAAAAGTCTTTTAACTGTGCAACTATTGTCCATATATTTTTATGGGACATTTAATTGCTTTTTTAGTGCCAGTGAAAGAGAATTTTTCAAAATGGCTACAGCTATTTCAAACAAGAAAGAGCATGATTGGATCTCCAAGTGAGATCATGCTCATAGTAAACTATAGGTTTTGACAATATTAATCCACTAGTGCAATCTTCATATCTTTTAAATTCAAATATTTAAGCACAGTTGATTCATTAAATAATAATGCTCACAATAGAATAATTGCCATTAGTTTTCAGAAATAATATACTACTAAGAGTGCTAACTGTTCTATTTCTGAGATGATGTCATGTTGCTTCAGTAGATGGCATTGCATTGGTTTATATTTTTAATGTTTTCTTCCATTTAGAAGACTTGGAAATGGATGTGCCTAATTCAGGACAGGGCTTTCCAGTATGTTTTTCAGAAAATGGCATCAGGTGCCAGAACTTGAATCTTACACACACTTTTACTTGTTTTGCTTGTGCTTAGAAGGCTGGATGATCAGAAGAGTATTCTTGTCCTGTATAGAAGTGATGCCTGCTGAAATTATGTGTAATAACATTTGGAGTGATAACATGTATAACTCTCCTGAAAACAAATAGTAAAAGTACCAGTTACAGCACAATCCTTTGGTGGAATTTAAACACTTTAAAACAGGGGTCTCAAACTCAACTTACCTGGGGGCAGTCTTGGTGAGGCTGGGCCGCATCAAGCATTCCACCACTGCGGTGGTGGTGGGCCGCTCATCCCGCGTTGCTCCCGGAGGTGCTTTGAAGGCCACAGGGCCCCTGCCCCATGCCCCGCCCAGCCCGGCAATTGGCCCGCGGGCCACAAGATTGAGACCCCTGCTTTAACAGGATTAGGAGGGAGGGAGCGCATTGAAGGTGCCTTGTCCATGTAAAACTCACAAGGAAGCAAACTCACCCGCAGGTCCTTTTATTTGTGGTTTCCAGCTTCTGTCGCAGCTGCACTGCCCCAAGTGCCAAAGCCCTCTCCTCGCCTGCAGCCTTCCTCACCCCTGGTTCTAAGGCAAAGAGTGATGTTGCCTCTGGGGAGGTGGGGAGCTGTGTGGGCATTGGGTCTGATCTTGCTGCTCCTGTCTGGCTGTCAGCGCATTGCAACAACACCAGCCACTTCCAGCTTTCTCCCAGAGGCTGCTTTTGCACATCTCCCCTCGTTCTTTCCTCCTCTGCTCCCTCCCTCCCTCCCTCTTCCTCTGCCCAGCCCCTCCTGTTTGTCTAGTCCCTGCCTTTATTCTCTCTTCCCCAATGCAGCTGTGGCTGCTCTGACTGCCAATCCCCAACGCAGCTGTGTGTGTGCCCGTGCATCCCCACAAAGGGCATCCCACGCCTTGTTCCTCCCAGTCTCTGGCCACTCTCCGGAGACTGCCATGGGAAGATGAGTGAGCCCCTCCACCTCCTGACAGACACCCATAGGAATTTTGGAAGATTTGGCTTTGTGGTCAGGAAAGTGTTTCAGCCTGCTAGCTGGGACCTTGACTACCGGTCCTCCCCCTTGCCTCATAGCTGGCACCAGCTGTATCTCGGAGGTTACACAAGTGCTTTGGATAGAGAGTTGAGTGGGTGTTCTGAGCCAGTAATCTAATGTTACAAAAAGTTTTTGTAAGAGTTGGTTGCTTGCGATTCCAATTAGTTATAACAATTAGTGTCTATTTTCTTTGCCTTTCAGGCCACACATCAAAAATGTCTGCAGATGTTCCAAGACAAAAAGGGGTATGGCGACAAACCAGAGCTCTTTTATACAAGAACTGCCTAGTTAAATGGAGGACTAAAAAGAGTAGTGTTCAGGTGAGTTTTCCAGCTGTAATTTAGTCTGTGTTTTGAGATTCAAATGTAGATTGATTTGGGATATTAAAAACAAACAGATGTGGCTGCTTTGATGGCAGTAGTTCATTGGCATGGGACTCCATTTTGACTAGACTGTTAAAGTTGTGCTCTTGTCATAAACTGCTTTGCATAATGTGGTTAATGATACTAAAGGCAATATTTTAGTTTAGAATGTCAGTGCTTCATCCTATACATTACCTGAACAGTATAGGTAACAGATATGAAGAATGCATATGACAATTATGATGAGCGTCTTTTGAAACAACCTCACCCCTCTGAGTTGCTGTATTTACGATGTTGCTGCATTTCCCTGTGGCCAGAGGGCACTTTGTTGCTTTTCTACCCATGCTTCTTCTCTTTCTGTTGCTACCAGCTAAAGGGTCTTCAGGTTTTTAGGAAGCTTCACTGTTCCAGTGAGTCTCCAAAACAACCCTGACATAATAAATATATTGATAGAATAGGACCCCACATAGTGGAGAGATTGAATATATGCCCGCAGAACAGCTAAAATGAGGCAGAATCCTGGGTGAAACATGGGCAGCATGCAGGAGGAGCATTCCTATGCCATGTCCTGTAATCTATGGCTGTGCACATGTTGATAGTTTAGCATCATACCAACCATATGCATGGCACAAGAATTCCCCCCCTGTTGTCTTCTGTTGGCCTCAGGGTGAGAGGATAGGTTTTTAGGCCTGCTGCAGTGCTGCCTATCAGGCAGTGTGGGGTGGGAAGGAGCATGGTCAAATGGGCTGCCAGGAAGAGCAGTGGGCCAGAATGTCTCATTGTGTCCATGAAGTTGCCCAGATGTGCCTTGAAGGATGGATGTAGGCTCTGTGTTGTCCCTGATAGGCAATTGTGCCCTGGATTTACACTTGTGGCCTCCAGCAGGTAAAATGCAGCTGTTTCACTGGGGATGGATAGGAGGCCAACAAACGTCCCTGCTGTTGTCTGCTGCTATGGGTGACTGGTTGAGAAATTGTTCTGTGATGTTTGCAATTTGAATTCAGATTTAAGAAATGTCCTCTCTTTTGTCCTGTGTGACTGTTTTGGCCAAGCAACCAAAAGATGGGTGGAACTGTGTTGTCCCATGAGGCTTGACCTCACATCTTCAGGCCCGCAATCTCCTATACTATGGAATGAGCTAATACTGTTGTCAGTGTGTGTGTGCCCATGTTACGTTTCCTGGCTCTTCTCTGGTAAAAGAGTGGAGGGTCACTCATCTTGAGCATATTGGTTCCCTCCATGTATGGGTAGAATGTGGGGTTTTTGCCACATTCAATGATTGGTGAACACTTGGCACAATTTCCATCTGTCTGTCCGTCCATCTGTCCTTCCTTCCTTTTTGCATCCATGTGTTGCTTCAAGGTTTTACATCCATGTAGCCACCCACATACCTGCAGCCAGAGATAGGTGATAAAGCCCTCTTCTAAGCATCAAGCACAGAGCAAAAATAAACCGCAGACTTAACGAGGATGTTGGGACTGGAAGGTGGTGGCTTTATTTCCTCTCCTGTTTAGCTCCCGGTTATGAATAAGCCTGGGCCACATTTCGCTTGCTAGAATTGGGCTCCCTTCTCACTACCGTGAGGAAGGCAAGCAGGATTGTTGAACCTTATAAATGCAGATTCTTGTGATGTTTAACTACCAAAACAGGGCTTAAGTGGTGACATAAAAATTACCATTGTATATAACTAGTAATATATAGGGAAATACTCAACAATTCTTGTGTTTGAATGGAGGGCACCTGAATACAAAAGATGGAGGTGAGGGTTGGGTGTGTTGTTGCTTTTCTCCCCATTCTGCAGTCTAACAAGCTGCATTACACACCAGACTGTAGGTTTACAATTATCTGCATATCTTATAGTCCTCCCTGGTGCAAGCAGAAGATGATATTCAGATCTAGCTGCACCCCCTTTTGTTATTTAAAAGCAATTTATTAACATTGTCAGTTGGGTACAGTTGATGACACTACAAATCTCACTGTTTTTGGACTTTCCAAGTGGCGCTGATGCTACAAACCTGGGCCTGATTATGCTGTGTCTGTATGCTCAAGCCCATGGCCTCCTATGGGGTTTGGTCTACAGATGTAGCGTTAGACAGTTCATTCTTATTATTGTACTTTTAATGTGTTCGTTTCATTTGTGCAGGAAGTCCTGCTTCCTCTCTTCTTTTTATTTTGGCTAATACTAATGAGCATGATGTATCCAAACAAGAAATACGATGAGGTGCCTGATTCTGATCTTTATACTGTGGACCACTTCAGCATCTCTGAGTTTATTGTTGGCTACACACCACCGAACGATGTAGCACGAGAAATCATGCACAAAATGTCTGCAGAATACTTTACTGAAGGTACTGTAAGCTTTTGCACTACTCTGCCCTTCTGGAAACGTGTTTTGTTGTTTTTCTTGTGCTTATTTGAAAGACACAGTCAGATATTCTCTGCATGGAAAATGTTTCTTGAATCATTTGATTTTTGTCACATTAACTCACTAACCATGCATCTAGTAGTGAAAGAGAAGCAGCTTCCAGTTTGGAAGCATGTGAAGCTTCAGGTTTGTGTAGGAGGAAAGGTTTCTATACTCCCTGAACAGAACCTAACCTCCCAACATGTTTCTCATTGGTGAGAGTGTTAAAAGCCTACACCCACAACTCACCCTGCCTCTGATATTAGGAGTGGGGCTTGGACAGGTGGAAGAGTTGAACTTCCTACTGGGCAGAATTCACAGTGCTGCTGACCAGGAGTCTTCACCACAGTCAGGCGCCACTACTTTAAGCATAGAAATGTTGCATAGCATTTATACCTTCCAGGAGCAAAGAAAACACACTCAAGATTTTTGTTTCTCTTAGCAGAACAACTGGGTGAATATCCCTTCAGCTAATTGGCATCCTGAGTGTGGCAAGCAGAGTAGAGTTCACCTTCCCACATGTCTTGTGCTGCTTGTGAGTGAAAGAACGGGGTTCTGCCATGTATTGCCAGTTTTTACATTGCATGAGTGGGAGACACTTGTACTGTCATATGGTATCCATCATATGGAGCACACACAGAGCTCTAATACATAGGATGGAGGAGGAAGAAACGTGCTGTTTTGCAAATATGATAGCTTTGTTTATTAACAGGATATGATGCTTCTCAAAGCAGGGTGGATTTGATTAAATCAAATTGATTAAAATCACAATTTAAATCACTCATCAATAAGAGTAGATTTAAGTCATGGTTTTCTACATAATTTGCATGCATGCTTGCCTTATCCCTAGGTAGAGGAACTTAATTGAAATATTCCCAAGCTGGGTCTCTTTTACAGCCTGCTGCCATTATAGGTTTTCTCCTCCAGGGAATGACAAACCTCAGGCTACACACAAAAAGATCCAAAGACTTGTGGAGTGCTCTGTTCAAAAGAGTTCACTTTCATTTTTAGTGCTTGCCCCACCCTCCTGACACTTAGCATCTTGTACAGATCTATTCCACCCTCAACAGTCTTCTGTTCATTGAATTTTTTAAAAACTTGGCACTTAAGAGGTAAAGGGTTGATTCTGCCTACATAGTTTTGCAAAGCAACAATGGGATTAAGGTCTTTTTCTCAAGTCTGTATGTTTATTTTATAACATTTTTGCTGTGCAGAAGAGGCATGTGCTCTCTGCAGACACAAATTCACAGCTTTGAGAACTGTAAAACCAAGCATCTGTGATAATATCTTCTAGACAGAAAATTGCCCAATAATCTTTCAGAAGCCTCTGGAAGAGCATGGCATTGTGAAAGGATTAATGGAATTCATTTACCCCAAAATTTAAACATTGCATGAATATACAGCCTCATGCTACCTAATTAAAAACTAATCCTTGTTTCATGATGAATAGCCTTTGGACTATAATGCATCTTAAATAGAAAACTATCTTTAGATAGATTTTTCCTCAAAAAGCATTTTATTTTAAAAATCCATTTTTTATTTTTTAAAAATCATTGATTTTTATCTACCCTGTCTCACAGAGATGTATGATTTTTCACTTTAAATAACTTCAGGGACTCACATCCAATGTGTAAAGTTAGATATGCCTAAACAGTATATTCTTGGCTGGGCTAACAAATGTTGCAGCTAAAATACCTGATTGAAGTTCTTTTGACTCAGAGGATTCAGGATGAGATTAATTAGGATAAATGTTTATCTTTTGCAGGAATAATTACGGAAGAATTTCTAAGTGAGCAAGAAATGCAAGAGGCTAGTCTCCGTACTCCCCGGAACTTTGTGGGTGTAATTTTCAAGAATTCTATGTCCTACGAGCTCAGATTTCCTCCTGCAAAGGTCCCAGTGTCTGCTATTCATGTGGAATCAAGAGGTTTTATAAATATATCTATATATAATATGTATATCTACTTGTTTATATATATACTGAGTTGCTACTTTCACAAACTTATGCAGTTGTATAATTAACAGGTGGAACAAGAGCCCTGTAGAAGATACTTTTTCCTCCTTTCCCCTAGTGTGATATAGTGCTAAATATAGTGCTGAAAGGCTGAGTTTTCTGGCTGGCTGCCAGCTGTGAACTGAGTGCCCCCACTCTGCTAATGTTCGTCCCTCAGCATTCCGTGGCTTAACTGGAGACTTACTGTAATCGACAGACCCACGTAGTTTGCCTGATTTCTCAGTCTGGGGTTTCATTTCTGTTTTCTCCTATATAGAATCTGAAATGAAATGAAATCGGCCCATAAAAAATGAAGAAATAATTTATAACATCTACAACTGAACCTCCACAGAGACATATCAGGAGCTTCTCCCTGTCCCTCCCTCCCTCCCTCCCTCACACACACGCACACTCAAATGCCTGTGCCCTCAGCATTCCAAAGGGCTAGTTTGGGTGTGTCTTTGTGTAAATCATTTTTTTCAAACTATATTTCTACATATTTAGGAGAATTCCCAAGTAAATATACCACCATATTTTGATTAGCACCATTTCATTTCCAAATAAGCATGCAATCATTGAATTTACAGTTAGAGGTGATGATGTATTTGCATATGTTTGCGTGTTATTTAAAAAAAAACCAATTTGCATATCTGGTCTTGTTTTCCCTGTGTCATTGGATTGAAAATGAAGATCTCAAGAATTTGTTCCCTTGGATAATGATATTAAAATTTCCTGCTAGGTGAAAGCAATAGAGAGGATTCCTTTCCACATGATATTTTTATGTTGTGTAATGTTTGCAGGCAGCTCCCACTCTGCACAACTCTTGTATCTTTTATGCAAGTAGACACAAGTAGACCAAAATACAAAATAGTCAATCATAGGAGTAGTTTGCAGGTTTAAAAACTCAGTGCTGCCTTAGATGTCTCTTATGAACAATGGTGTGTTATATGCCTCCCTCTTACACATTATTTAAAGGGTTTCTGTACAGGGGGATCTTGGAATTATGTATGGAATTTCTGGTAATCTATCCATGTAGGTATCGTGCAGAAACTAATGTCATTCTAGCTTTAGCAATTTTGAATAGTTAAAATGGGTTTAAGTTTTCCTCTCATCATTTAATTTTTCTACAGCTAGTTGTCCAAGCCCTTCCAAGATATGTGAAGCTGAAACATACTGGCGCTATGGATTTACAGCTTTACAGATCTGCATTGATGCTGCAATAATACAGGTATATGAAAAGAATCAGAATGTGAAAAACGCCAAATTGTAATTAATAGCCTCAACTTGGCCAGCCTATCCAGAAGGATGCCATGGTTGATGGTATCAAAAACCACTGAGAGGTCCAGGAGAACCAACAGCGACGCACTCCTCCTGTCCCTCTCCCTACACAGGGCAACCAAGGCAGTTTCAGTTCCACAGCCAGGCCTGAAACCAGATTGAAATGGCTCTAGATGGTCAGTTTCCTCCAAGAGTGCCAGAAGTTGTCCAGCCACCACCTGCTTGAGCACCTTGCCCAAAAACGGGATATTAGCCACTGGCCTATAATTGGAGGCTACCTCTGGATCCAAGGTCACCCTCTTCAGGACAGGCCTGATCACCACCTCCTTCAGACGGGCGGGAACCCTTCCCTCCCTCAGAGAGGCGTTGATGACCTCCTGGACCCAAGTACCTTAGGCTTGAATTATATCCACAGTTACCTGGGAGTAGATTCCATTGTATTCCATGGGTTTGATCCCCTGCTGGCATCTACTAGTGGGTTAATGCTGCACAGCAGAGCAGACTGGGGTTCCTGTGAGGAACTGCAGGAACTTCATTAATATTTAGTGACTGATATTGCAACTTTTGGCTAGTAAAATCCTTCATTCTAATATACACACATGTATATGGGCTGTGACATCACTTTTTGAAAAGAAGTTACAAAAGCTAGTGAATGAGGATATTACAACTAGGAATCTGGATGTGATTTGTAACCAGGATTTATTTATCTATTTTTAATTAATCCTGCTTTTTCTTCAAGAACTTCAAGCTGCTAACAGCAAAAGATTTAAAACAAGTGTTTGGGATAATAGTTTTGGGGAACTCAAAGTAGTTTGAGTGTCATGGCTTTCAGTTAGGTTGGCAGTATAAGCTAATTAAAATGCACATATTATTATAGTTATAAGTTATGACTTTGGAAATAAAATTTGCATAATAGCAGCAGCATGAACACTGATTTAACATACATTATATTTTTAGCTGAAGACTAACAATTCAGTTCTGGAAGACCTGGAACAAATAAAAGCTGTCATGATGGGAGAGTCTGCCGTTATGGAAATAGATAACTTTCCTCGTGCAATCATTTTAATTTACCTAGTAATAGCATTTTCACCATTTGGTTATTACTTGGCAATCCATATTGTGGCAGAAAAGGAGAAGAAACTGAAAGAATTTTTAATGATAATGGGACTTCATGACACTGCTTTTTGGTATGTATGTGCCTTTGTTCTTTGATGTTAAGGAAACTATAGATATTGTCTCATTATATTCCTTCATGCTACTCTAGGGAAAAGAAACACATCATATCTTGCTCTTAAATTATCTTATGAATAAGTTATTCCCATGACATACATTTTCTACTATTCCTAATTTTCCCTGGTCTATTTTTGAAAATTAGGTAGGTCTCAACAATAAATGCTTTGAATGGTAAGAGATTTGGAGCTAAGTTGCTACTATAATTTTGAAAAGGTTGGTGGATATTCTGAAGTACTTTGTAATCCATGTCCAAATTTATATTAGTAAGTATTAATTCTATATTTGCATTTGCCCTAATTATCCTACTGGTGTTGTTGTTAATATTATAAAATTTAATATTAGCCCCATTTTAGTGTACATATGATCAAAGCTTTGCATGGACATTTAAATAATAAAATTCTCATCCAGATGTGCCCTCTCAATCCCTGGTGGGTTTGGGCAGATCTTTTTCATTCAGCACTACTCAAAGCTCAGTTCTACATTAGAGCTGATAAATTAACAAGACATCCGAATTCTTCTCTTGAGAGAGGAGGGTCAACTATAATGGTGGAAACACTCTCCATCAGGACCAGGAAGCATTTACCGATCTTCAGCTGGAAAAGAAAGGGCCTTTCTCCACTTCCAAGATTACTTTCTGGATTACTTCATGGAAAGCATGTTCCAGTGGGTCTTGCTTTTGAAACTCACTCCACCCCACAGAAAGGAGAGAGAAAAAGACTGTCTTAGGACTGCCAGGAGGAATGAAGAGAAGGGTGTAATGGACAACTCCTCACTCAGCCTTCTCTTCTCAGTGCTCCTTCCCATGGTGGACCCCTATCTCCCATCCTCAGCTTACTTACATGGAGGCTTAGCTGGCAGAAGCAGCAGAAGAGTGTGTGCTTGGGGCTGCTGCCGCCAGAAGCATGTTCCTCAGGGCTGCAAAAGCACAGTAGCACTGCCTTACCTGTCCTCCAGGAGGCCACTCCAACTGTGATTCTCCTAAGCAATCCCTTTCTCTGCATAAGTGCTTGTGGCTTCTTCATGGTCTCTGCATCACACCTATTGGCTCTGTGCCTGTATGGAGCCTTTTACTAGAAAGATTTAATAGGAGTGTTTTGGCAGGAATCCCTCCCCTACTTCAGCATCCATATAAAAGAGAAGAGGTCCTGTCATTTCCCTCGGTCCTTCTTTGACCTCCTTCAGTGCCTCTGGAAGTTCTTTCTCTCACTAGATTTTTTTCTGATCATGTTTTCTTTCTTTTGTCACCTTTTGGATAAATTTAATGTCTTGTTCCTATATGCCTGATCTCTTCTTCTCCTTGCAAGCCTTTTTTTCTAAAAAGCCTGCTCCATTTTACCTATTCACCAAAACAAACAAACAAACAAACAAACAAAAGAAGCCCTCTTTGTGCTCTGCTCTGTTGGACCTTCCTTGTATTTTTTTCTTCAAAAAACATCCTGGTGGCTTTCAGGATAGGTAAGAGAGGCAAAGTGCTGTCTCCACTACAGGAATCCAGGTAACATCTTCCCTTAGGCATGACATAGCCAATAATAGATTCCTCTCAAAGCAAAAGTAAGGAATTTCATTGTTCTTCTCCCCTTTTCAAAGGATGGTTATTCATCCCAGTCGGGATTATCTGTTTTTGATCACCTCTATAATTCCAGTCATCTCACACTCTCCTTCCCTTGTACATGGATCCAGGAGAGTTGCAGTTACAGGACAGAGTCAAACATTGGGAACAGATTCACCCCAGCCTTTGGTAGATTAATGCCCTCTACCATTGGTACTATGAGGAGTAGGGATAAGAGCTGTTATAAGCTTTGCTCCTCCCATAGACAAAGACACAAATGATGTGGCAGATCCTGGGTCCAGCTTCTCACCTCTCATCCCTGCTTGCAGCTTTTCACCTCAGATTGGACAGAATTTCAGGAGACCTTGGGAACAGTTCTCTCAGACTGGGCACTATTTCCAGAGGAAAGAACCCACATTGGTTGGGCCAAATTATAGCCCTGGTATGTTATTACCCACTTTACTTTTCTGAATGTTCCAGCTCCTCTTAAGAGAGATCTAACATGGGAGCTTTTCCTCTATCTTGAAGAAAATTAGTGTACACTTTTAGAGTTATTATGATGCCATTTAAAGTGGTTTGTTTAGTACATTACTGCCTTAAGGAATTTGTTGCAATATCTGTGCTACAGTAGCTTTGCTCCATTCACAGGAAGACTCATTTCTGGGATATCACTTTGTACTATGATGTACAGCATTTAATTCATTTGATTTCAGCTTATATTTCCTAATGGTTTCTGTGAAATTGCACAGTTGGGCATTGTGTCCATGTAGGCAAGGTTGGCATTTTCTGCATGTTTAGTTGAGAAGAGGGCTATGCTACCCCTCCTTCCAGATGATGAAACATCTCACTGTGTTGACTCTGCTGCTGTGCTGCATGCCTGGGGCACTGTGAGGATACAGAGAAGTGCTGTATCTGTTGTCATCCACTCTGTACACTGTATTGCCTTGATAGTCTACCTATCTAAGTGAATGTTGCAGGGCAGATAGCTGCCATAAATTGCCAGATTTTAATCCCAGATTTTAATCAAAGAGGCAAGCAGAAATTATTCTTCCAGACTTTTATCTGTGTGTGTGTGAGACAGAGAGAGAGAGAGAGAGAGACTGCCCATTTCATCAGTCGTGGATTCATAGAAATGAGGGACGTTCATATTTTAAATTTCATGTTTTAATGCAAACATACCTAAATTGAATTTTCTGAACCAGTACACAAACCAGTTATCCTTTAGCATTTGCAGTTCTCTGATTTTAAAAAAATGCTTACAAAAAATTGTGTTTTAGAAGAAAAGGTGCACAAAAATACACATCCTTAAAAGGAGCACACAAAAATGCACTAAAACAGAGGAAGTTCCTTGCAACATTGTATATGATAGGCAAAACACTGGGCAAAATATGCATATTAGAATTTGGTCTGATGTTTGTAAAACTGTAATTAAATATGGGAAAAAGATGGAATTATTTGCTCTTTGTGGGCAAAATACCTAATTTTGCTATTGCACAGATCACTATTCAAAATACCACAGGTAAGTGATTTCTCTATAATTGCACAGACAAATGAGAATTCATAAAATTTCATTGTGTTTTTCCTTTTTCTAGGCTTTCGTGGGTCCTACTGTACACCAGTCTGATATTTGTCATGTCCCTTCTCATGTCGATCATTGCAACATCCTCTTCGCTGTTTCCCAAAAGTAGCAGCTTTGTGATATTTCTCCTTTTTTTCCTGTATGGAATCTCCTCCGTAAGTGTGTGTGTGCATATATGTGTGTGTGCTCATTGTCAATATACTGTGGATACTGAGGGTGTTGTGTTAGACCCATTGCTGTTAACATACTTAAGCAGCTCATTTCTCAGCCTGGAACAGTAGCAAGTTCAAGTTCCTTACCCCAGCACATAAGGGATCTAAAATAGTTACATCTGTGTATACATTTTGGCAGACTTTTTTCCCATTTTATGTTGAATGTATTAAAATGGCTACTAACTTTATTATTTTCCCACCTCCCCCATTGTTAGATTTAATTGCAATAGTCACTGCTTTTCTTTTTTCCCCTCATTTGCAAGAACTTTAAGGAGTATTTTGTAAACTTCCTTTCTTTTTAGAAAGGTTGCCATTCATCTGCAAAAATTACCATTGATTTTAGTGATCTTAGACTAAGAGTTTCCAACCAAACTGAATTTTTAAATATTTATCTTACCTATATAATGATGATGATGATGATGATGATGATGATGATGATGATGATGCTTGTAGACATTTAAGTGTATCAGTGGGTGGAAACTAGATGCAGTCCTTGAGTACTAATATTCTTCATACGTAGTATTCTAATGACAAGAATATTCCCTAATTCAGTGAGCTTTGGCAGTAAAACTATTTATTGGTTTCTGATGTGGTTCTCTGTTCTGATTTTGTTTCTTCCATATGCTCATTTTTTCTGATGCTCAGTCTGCCCTTTAATGAATAAAACAGTTTAAAATCTCATGCGAGGTAAGGACTAAGAGTGTGACATAATTACCTAAAATGTATCTCAGCTATTAATTTCTGCACCTAGAATCATAATTGGAAGGTGTTATTTGAAAAGAAAACCTATTTTTACTTATTGCCAGGTAATCTGTTTTAATTACATAAAGAAAATGTCACTGTGCTTTATCTTACCTTCTGGCATCTGTTACTTTGGCCTCAAAACCAAAATGAGACAGTGAATGTTACCACATTAGATAAGTCTCAAGCATCCTTAGGAAAGAGTTCTTGATATTATGAAGTCAGTTGATTTCTTGCACCAGGTACATTATTGATCTGTAATAAGTATTATATGAGTAACTTTGATGATTGAAAAAGATTATAATTAATGTAAAAAGTAGTACTTTAGCATCTTTAACCAAGGATTTTGTGTATTGAAATAGTTGTTCCCTTCCTGTTTAGGTTTTCTTTGCATTTATGTTGACTCCTCTTTTCAAAAAATCAAAACATGTTGGCACAGTTGAATTTTTATCAACCTTGGCTTTTGGTTTTGTGGGCCTGTCGATTGTCCTTTTGGAAGATTTTCCGAAGTCCTTTGTGTGGTTATTAAGTCCTCTCTGTCAGTGCACATTTTTAGTTGGCATTGCTCAGGTTAGTAAATTACCTTTTTTTACTTCTTACTGTGATATATTGACTTGCAGGAATAGTTATTACACTGTGGTTTGAATACTGCATATGATAATGTTTAATGGTGCAATCCAGGCCAGATTACCTTCAAACTTGGAGGATTAAGTGCATCCTATATAAGGTGGAAGGAGCAAAAGGAAAGGTTGCCCTCATAGTCCCCCTGCTATGCAAAATACTGATTTCAGTCATCTACAGATCACACCCTGGGATTTAAGGAAAGGAGGCTGAGAGTACCTTTCTTTCTTACCTGCCAGAGTGCCCCCTCAGTCCCATCTCCAAGGTTGCTGCTGTAACCTCAGAGATGCTGTCAGCAGTTTTTTCTGCACTGGCTGTGCAGGAGGGAAGGTGCCCTGAGACTGGGGCCCCCATTTTGCTAACCTTAGCAAAGTTAGGTCTCCAGAGAGTTGAGTTTCAGAGAGACGTAGTTGGGCCTCCAGAGAGACATGGAGATTGCACTGCCCATGTTTCATCTCAGACTAAAACTAGATGTGGCTAATATTTACCTCATTTGAATATTTTCAGTAACACATTTGATTATTTTCTCATCAGTTAAAAGCTACTTTTTGTTTTAAAGTAAAAACCACGATTTCTGTAAACAAAGAGCACTGTTCTTAGAAATGAGCATGCACACAAACATAATATGATAAAAATCTTTCTTGACAGATGAGGTTCAACATCCTATTATGCTGTACTTGTTTGGGATTGTTTACTTAACTGCATTTAGCAATTTTAAAGTGCATTAAGAAATTTGCATTGAACCAGTCATCTGGTTGAATACAAAAGGCAATGGGTTTAAAAATCCATTAAAAATTGAAATTTCTTAATAATTGGGTGGCAGTTATAGCTTCATATATGGAAATCTTGGCATATAAGCACTCTACATTTTTGAAAGAGATCCTCAATCCAAAATGAGTCCAGAAGGCATGATACTGTAGTCCTTGTAGGGCATGCCTGGGACCATAGGGCCTTCTGGACGCCTTATTCTGAAGCTATAGACACTACTACATCTTTGAGAAGGGGGCTCTGAAATCTCATCCCTGCAGCAACCTTTCACAGCCTCCATGGAAAGAATTGCTGCATCTGCCTTCTGATGTTGCAGAAGTGGTCTCAGAAGATGCGAAGTGGTCTGCAAGGGAGCGTCCTGGTGGGAGAGGGAACAGCATGACGAGGAACCCTATGGCTGCCACACCCAATGTGTCATTCTGGGCGAGTGCAGAGGGGAGAACAACAGCAGGAAGCTTAAACTAATCTTAGGAGGGAAAGGCTCCTAAAACTGCAGTGACAGGAAAAATATATTTTGGATGGAAATATATTTCAATAGATGAGGGGGTACCCCCCAAAAAACAGGAATTATTTTCTGCAGGGTGGGCCCCTTGTAGTACAGGCTTCCCCCACCAGCTGAGTGTTCTAGGAACCCCAGCTGGGTGGTCATGAGAGGCTATGTTTGGTTTCACTGAGGTATTTTTTGGAGACTCTTTCAACGTATTTGCCTATTAACAGTACATGACAGTAAATGCTGTTTCATAGCATTTTATTTATTATTTATTTATTGGCAGGTCATGCATCTAGAAGATTATGAAGAAGGAACTGCTTTTTCAAATTTAACTCATGGCCCTTATCCACTGATTATTACTCTTACACTGTTAGCCCTTGATAGCATGCTTTATCTACTCCTAGCAGTTTATCTGGATCAAGTTATTCCAGGTATGTTTGAATTTTTAAGAAAAATACATAAGAAGTAAACCCCTCCATGTGGTTGGTGAAGGACTTAGGTCCAAATTCAGCACAAAGTCAGTGGAATTATGTAGATTGCAACGGATGTAATTGATGTAATCCATTTCACTCAGAGAAGCATGCCAACCCATTAAATAAATAAAGATGTTCAGTTACCAACCATATTGGGAAAAGCAGATAGATGACATATTCCAGGGAGTGAATTCCTTAAATGCTGGAGAATGGGTCATTGAAGACTTTCCAATATTCAGTTTGTGACTCCTTCCATTTTTCCTTTTGAGTTTGAGGTTGTTGCTCTGAAAAACAAATAAGCAGCCTGTATGGCTCAGATAATACTTTCCCCATAATTTGTCCAACATAAGCAAAAATTCTGTCGAGGAATTATGGGATTTGCTGTCCAATGTATCTAGAAGTCACCAAGATGGGGTAAACGGGTGTAAAGTAAGTAGGAGAAGGAATACTTAGGTGTAAAGCATTAATACTGTGCCATATCATGGTGTGGAATTATAGCTGAACCATCCCAGTAGTTGGACGCATGATATGCGACAAATGATACCTATGAACAAAATATCATAGGCTGCTGTCCAAAATCATTCTGCAAAATCTTTTAAATGTATGTTCCTGTTGGATTCAGAAAAATTTGCATAATATATATCTGCTGATGAATTTGAGCAAAACAATTATGTTTTGGTTCATGATGAAAACCAGAGGACTTACTCTGTGTTATTTCCTGAATCAAGGTTGAAACCCAAAATCCATTTTTTTTCAATAGCCTTAAAGTCAGGAATTCATAAATGTGGAAAGCCATCAAATTTATGCATCTAATTTGTATCTGTTGTGTCCAACTTGTATGTATGCATTATAAACCTTTCTGTTCTTTTTCAATTTAGGGGAACATGGATTGAGGCGAAGCTTTTTCTTTTTCCTGAAGCCCTCATTTTGGTCAAAGCAAACAAGAAATTATAAGGAATTGTATGAGAACAGTATTAATGGGAGCTTAGAATTCAATGAGATCATTGAACCTGTATCTTCTGAATTTCAGGGAAAGGAAGCTATCAGGTATGATTGATTACTGTGTCATTTAACTCCAACTGCTAATGTGTAATATTAATATTTTTGTGGAAATGTGATGTATTAACTGGATATGCAACAACTGTGATTGGTGGTTATCTGTGTGCTCAAGCAATGCCGTGAAAGGAAATATTATAGCCACACCTCTGTGAAGCAATGATTTTTATCGCTGAGCACAGGTGAAGAAGAAAAGTCTGCATTAGGAGAAGGCACTGTTAACTATGTCAGTTTACCAGAGTGGGTTTGATCCAGATTTAGTCATATATACAGTAGGTCCAATGAAATCACTGGCACTAGCAGTCATGGCTGATTTAAGTCCCATTGATTTCACTGCATTTTCTGTAAGCATGACTTACCTGGATCCAGCAGACATAAGCATACATAAGTGTCTGTGGAAGTGGTCCAAAAGCACACACATGTAAGGTTTGCGTGGGATGACATTATTGTATGCACCAAGCATTTTGTCGTTGAGAAAAAGGAACAAGGAAGACTGCATACATCGAAGTGGTTGAATAGTAACTTCTGCCTAGGAAGATGAAGCAAGAAATAAAACAAAGCTACTTTAATTTCATTGCCAAAGAGACAGATGCACTTTTTCCAATGGAAGTTAGTGTATTTTCTTGTTAAGACCTGGTACACATGGCACCAAACCCATCCTGGGTAACTAGCCAAGGTGGCTTTTTTCTCCCAGTAAGCCAAAGTAGTACTGTGAAAGACATGAGTACCAGTAGGAAGTGATGTATGTTCTTTCCAGCACACACACCAAGTCATATTTTTCTTAATGTGACAGACACACAGATAAAATAAAATGGTCTTTATGGATTGGAAATGCTCCATTTTGCCCTTTGAAGCAGGCTTACACTTTATTCTGTAGTGAAACTTCTTTTCACATGAGCTTCTGCTTATGTAGCTCAACCAGTATTAATGATAAATCTGGGGATGGAGGAAAAGATGGTCAAGCTACATGTTCAGGGAAAAAAATGGTAGTTTCTTTCTGAACAAAGGATTTTGGGAGAGGATTCCCCACATTTATTTTGTCTCAGGAGAACTGTACTTCTCTGAATATGTGGTAGATTAATTTTCACTGTTAAGTGAAGCTCTGTTAGCTCTAGTAATATAACTACTAAAACAAGCATGGGATCACTACGTATTGTTTGCTTTCATCTTGCTAGGGAGAGAGTTCTGAATCACTTTTAAAAAATAAAATTAGCTTGTCTTCTTTCAGAATCAACTGTGTCCAGAAATCTTTTGTTAAGAAGGGTGAATCTGTGGAGGCTCTGAAAAGTAAGAATTTTTAGGTTTTCACCTGTCTGCCAGAAGCGGGAGTCCTTGTAGTTCAGGTGCTACCCATCTGTTGTGCTGATTTTTAATTAATGAATTCCCCAATTTGCCACCCAAAAACGTGAGCTATCAATAAAACAAAATCTAAATTAAAACATAAAAATAGATACTTTAAACCATAATTAAAAACACGATTATAAACATGACACTAAAAGAAATAGAAAGCACCCAACTCATTAAAACCCCCTTCAGGAATTGGCCAGCTTATATGCCAAAGGCCTGTTTGAGTAAGAAGTTTCATTGCTTCCTGGCAGGGAAGAAACAGACCTTGCCTCCTTTCACAAAGTGTTCCAAAGCCTGGCTGTAGCTACAGGAAAGGCCCTCACGTCCCCATTGAAAAACAGGAGCAACAGCAAAGTGTGGGGGTGGGTTTGTCTTAGTGCTCAGTCATGTATTAAGTCTTATTGCTGCAAAGTTATATATTAACTATAAAATGTTATGTTCAATGGCAAATGGACATGTTTTCTAAGTTTGAATGAAAATATATTCTATATGGTAGTGTCTGAATATGCATAATGAAACTTGAAGAAGTGCTTTCTAGCGCCATGAATTACCTCTCCCTGGTTCCTTTCTTCTATTAGGTTTATCCTTTGACATATATGAAGGTCAGATCACAGCATTACTTGGACACAGCGGAACAGGAAAAACAACATTAATGAACATCCTTTGTGGGTTGTGCCCACCTTCTGATGGTAAATATTGTTTAAATGTATTGAGAGCGCCAGATTTGGGGGCAAAAGAGGCAGTATCTCCTTCTGCTGTTGCTTGGAGGGTTTGAATGCATTTCGGGGAGGGGGGGGGAAGAATGTGGAATACAGCAGTAGGAATCCCTAATCCTAACCCCTTTATTCTCTGGGCTTCTTTGTAGAGTAAGAAAAGATAATTTCAGGATATTGATAATAGATTTTGCTGGCCCATTTTGTTTACCACATTTTCTAAATTTTATTTTATAAATTTGTGCACTAGTATGTTGATGCAGAGTAATAATACTATAAAAACAAACAAAACATCATCTTTATTCCTCCCTTTCTGCATGACCCCAGAATCCAGTTTAATGTAATCACTCCCTGCAAATTATGGAAATATAAGCTGCAGATAAATAGCAGATCACGATGTTGTACATTGCAGTCTGTCTGTTTCCTGTTTGTTTGCTTGTTTTAAGTTCTGGTAATTAAGAACCACAAAGCAGGAGAAATTCATCAGGAGATAATTTCATAAGGATCCCTTACATATAGGTTGTTTCTCACCAAACCACAGTGGATGTTTTATGGTGACAGCCCTACCAGTGGTCCATGAATACTTTTTCATCTAATGGTTCTTTTTTCTGTCTTAGTGACACTCTTTTTTCACCATTTTTTGCATTAGGGTTTGCATCCATCTATGGATATAGAGTTTCTGAAATTGATGAAATGCTAGATGCAAGAAAGATAACTGGAGTTTGCCAGCAATTGGATATATATTTTGATGTATTAACAGTGCAAGAGAATTTATCTATAGTTGCCTCAATTAAGGGAATACCTCCCAATGATATGATACAAGAAGTGAGTAAATTAGGTTGTTTTTTTTCTTCGATATATATCCTGCCTTTTTCCTACAAAGGGCTCAAGGCAGCTTACATCATTCTCCTCCTCCATCTTATCCCCACAACAACAACCCTGTGAGGTAGGTTGGGCTGAGAGTCTGTGACTGGCCCAAAGTCACCCAGTTGGCTCCATGGCTGAGTGGGGACTCGAACCCAGATCGTCTGAGTCCCAGTCCCACACTCTTAAGCACTGTACCACAGGTTCAACTTGTAGAGTGAATACAGTCATTTTTAATAAATGTCAACAGATTACCATATTTGATTTCAGCACAAAAATATACATCATTTCATGTGAATAATTTCAGAATGTGTTTGTATAAGGTGTTTTAAAACTCTGCTCCCATAACATTCTATTTTATTTTAGTAATCATTTCAAAACATGAAAACTTGACAGTGTGGGAAGGATGACATTAAGTGGGCATATTAATCATTTTCTCTCTCTCTAGAATTCCTTTTTTAGAAGTATCCCCCCAAACCTCCTTTAATATCACCTCTGTTTAAAAATAAATTTGAACTTATGTAAGAGCCTATATAAAAAAAACAAAATACAAATAGAGAACATGTGCACCAGTGATGCATAATATTTTAAAGGCTCTCACCTCAAATACTGATACTGCTTTTTTGAATAGTTTCATGTTCTGGAACATGTCCATAATCTATTACATTACTCAATTAGATTTTGCAACCCACCATAAACCTTGAGTATGATAAACATCCTAATGTTAAAATAATACTTACTTTCATTGTAACTACATGCTTTTTATGTTGAATTTATAAGGTCCAAAAAGTTTTACTAGATTTGGATATGCAGCCGATTAAAGATAACCAAGCAAAAAAACTAAGTGGAGGACAAAAAAGAAAGCTGTCAATTGGAATTGCAATTCTTGGAGATCCTAAGGTAACCAGAAGGAGTGAATGGTTGATTAGTGCTATAATAATTTGATGTTTTCATGGAAAATATATTCAGAGGGGTAGCTGTGTTAGTATATTGCAGCAGAAACTACAATTTTTGGAGCATATTAAAGATTTGGACTGTACATAGGAATATCAGAAGAAACTGCAAACTCTGAAATGGGAATTCTATGCAAATGTTCAGGAAGTTGTGCAAACATAGTCCAAGGGTCTTGATCAGAGGTCTTATGTTTACTACATAAAATAAACAAGTGAGGCAATCCATCGAGACTAAATTGGGGTGTCAGATTATATGAAATCCACTGTAAGACATTATTCCCCAATGTTTAAGGTTTCAGAAAAGTATACAAAATATATTATTTCTTTTCATGGTTTGTAGGTTACAGTTGGGGATGTATAATAGTTAAAGAATCCTGGAACAGGAGCATTATAGCTGAATCTATTCAATAACTTAAGAGCCTAAGTTTGCACTTAAAATAATCTTATTCCCAAGCACTGTTCTCACTTGTAAAATGAATTCCTGAGAGTTTTCTTTATTGTTTTCCCTGGCCAATATTTAGGTATTACTCTTAGATGAACCAACTGCTGGCATGGATCCGTGCTCTCGACATACTGTATGGAACCTCCTGAAAAACAGAAAGGCCAATCGAGTGACGGTGTTCAGTACCCATTTCATGGACGAAGCAGATATTATCGCTGGCAAGTACAGTCAGGCTTCTGTGTCATACAAGTCGTACACAGCATGAAGGAGGCTGTTTGGTAACACAGCCAGCTTGTTGTTCCTCTGCTTGTGATTGCACTAAGGGGCTCTTCTGCTCTTGTTTCCAGATCGGAAGGCTGTGCTATCCCGAGGAATGCTGAAGTGTCTTGGGTCCTCTCTCTTCCTTAAGACAAAATGGGGAATTGGCTACCGCCTGAGGTATCTTTTAGAAATATTCAGTGCACTGCAGTGTTTTTCAGTGTGACACATAATTGCCAAAATACCAAATCAAGTGAAGTAAACGTAAATCCACTAAATCAGTGGAATGTGGATTGGAATATTGCTTAGATTATCAATTCATAGTTAACACTATTGTTCTTCAGTGGAACAGGAAAACTCTATTTGTTTTTAGACTGACTTAACATTATATTCTTGTTTCTTGTTACTGTAGTTTAAACAATACTCAGTTTATAAACGATAATCTTTGTATCTTGTGTGTATTCTCCTTAGTATGCACATAGACAGGTACTGTAACATAGAAGGTACAGCATCTTTGATCGGACAGCATATCCCCGGAACCAGTTTATTAAAACAGACTGAAGAGCAACTTGTATATGCCTTACCATTTAAAGACACAGACAAGTTCTCAGGTATAATGCTTCTCTGTACTGAACATTGTTGAAAAATTAGCAAATTGAGGAATTTCTGAAAAGCAGGGAAGGCAAAACTGAAAAGGCCTTCAAAAGAAACAGCTTATACCAGTTGATTTTGGGCCTGTAGTGCAAAAGAAAACAGTACCTATCCTGAAAGAAGATAACTGGCCCCACACTGTTTTTCCTTATAATTATTGTGCAAGTAGTCATATTTTCTGCCTGTGCAAGTATGGGGAGTTGAGAACATAGTACAAGAAGCAGGAACCTTCAGAGCTTAGACAACTTTTAGTCAAAATCATAATCAAAGAAAAATGTTCTCCATAGTATTGGTCCTCAAAATATAGAATGATTAAACAGGTGTGATAGAAAAAGCTTTTCTGTGGTTGCACTAAGCAGTTTAAAGAAATAAGAGAAAATAATTGCAAGGGAATGTGATTGTATTAACAATAGTAGCTTTACTACTTCTGCTTTTTCTTCTTTTAGCACTGTTTGCTGATCTCGACACTCATTCCCATTTGGGTGTTATTTCGTATGGTGTTTCTATGACAACTTTGGAGGATGTGTTCCTCAAGCTAGAAGTTGAAGCAGAAATTGACCAAGCAGGTAAGAAGGAACCACATAACTTTCTGTAGTGCTTTTTCATATGATTTGGTAATCACAAGTCATTCCCATTTTATTTCTGCTTACAAAATACCCTTTTTAATTTTGGAATACTGTACGAGACCACATGCTTCTCACATGCTCAGAATGAAGTGGGCCATTGAGTACACTAACCAAGAAGAAAAGCACATTGAACTTACTAAAACAACTGAGGCTTGCAGTGTAATTGTTGATGGAACTGCCTCATTTAGAAGGGCTGTGCACCTCCCATACTCTGTTGTGGGTGCTTTGCTATTTACTGGCTTTCTACTACCCCCATCCTGGTTGCTTAGTCTCTCCTCCAGGAAGGGGACATTTGATCTTCAAAAAAAGGCATCACAGGACATGCCAAGCAACCAGATAACCTGTGTTAAGGTTTAAAGGAAAGAGGAAGAGAGGCAAACCATAACTTTTCCACTGACTGTCCCTCCTTCCTTGCTTTTTCCCCTGCTTGTCTTCCCCATTCTTTTCACCTTTCAACAATAGCAGCTTATTTTCCCTTTACTAAAATACTTTTTGTAAAAGAGTCTGGCACACTGTGGAACAAATCTCCAGTCACACCTCTTCCATCAATTCCCCAAAAGCCTCTCTGGACGTCTCTCTGCCTGACCAATTCTGTGGGAGGGAAAAAAATTAAGCAAGGGATTAAGATGCCACTGTCTCTGCTGTAATGTCATTTGGGGGTCCTCCAGTCATTTGGCTCCAAACCCAATAGACTGCTTTTCTAGTGGGCCATTTTATGGGGAAGTGGTCCTTAAACTTGGCAGCTGTTCCTGACCTTCCAAAGACAACAACAAAGCTATTTCATTCCTCATTTTAATTAACAGCAGTACCGTTTTTTCTTATTTCTCTTGGATGGTTCTTCTGCCTCATGCTAGACAAGTTTATATATCCTGAAGAATACTCTGCCATATCTAATTTAGTATGTTGCTAACGATTTCTGGGCATGTTAGTATGCTACTGACATCTTCAGTAAACACCAAGCTTTATGGATCCATGGTCTGGTCAGAAGTTGCTTGACCTTTTCTCCTTTTGTCTCCAGATTTCAGTGTATTTAACTCAGAGCAAACTGAAGAGGAAATGGATACAAAATATGTGGATGAGTTAGAGCAGAGCCTCCTCATGCTCTCTGAGGCAAAATCTTGTGCTGTGAGCAACAGGTCTCTTTGGAAGAAGCAGGCCTTTACTATGGCAAAGGTTCATTTCCTTAACTTAAAACGTGAAATGAAATCAGTCACAGCAGTGTAAGTATCTCCTATTTGTGTTTCTTCATCATAATATTAGAAAGCGGGTTATTATTGAGAGAAGGAGAAATGAAAACAAGTGCTGGTTTTAAAGCCTGCTCAAGTTACAAGCTCTTAACTGGTGAGGACTGAGTGTCTTTAGTTTCGTTAACGGGAAGCTGATGTTATTTCAAGATCAGGGTTGGCTCCAGGGCTTCCTGCAGGCAAGGCTGTTCAATGGCTTCCCCCATTTACTTGTGCTAGTGGGCAAGGAACAGCAGTGCGTCACTCGCCACAGGCTGTCCAGGATTCTGCAGGTACCGCTGGCACGACACTATCTACACACAATGGGGGAATATCTTGGGGGCATCAGGTGGAGTGTTACAAACCTCTCAATAGGACTCCATGAGGCTGAGTGAAAATTGGGAAGCGCCCCGCCCCTCCCCCCCCCCATCTGGCTCAATATCTGTAGGTAGGGAATGTGCTACGGTGAAGTAGAAGATCAAGCTAGGAGAAGGGATGAGACCAGGTGCATGGCCTGGGAGGGTGCCATGGGTTGGATTAGAGGATTCCCATCTACAATGACTTGAATACAGTGTTATTCCAAGAACAACACTACATCTGGGAGTGTAAAGGACACCCATTTTTAAGTGGATTTGTACATAATTTGGATCCGTGTATAATTTGGAATACTTACGCTTTTTCTTTTCTTTCAGGTTCTTGCTATTCACAGTGTTTCTTGTTATTCAGATTTTTATGTTTCTTATACATCATTACTTCAAAAATGCTGTGGTTCCTATCAAACTGTCCCCAGACTTATACTTTCTTAAACCAAATGAAACTCATCACAAGTACAAAACCAGCCTCCTCATTCAAAACATGACTGGTAAGAAGTGACAAAGAACTATATTTTAATATGCCTGCATTTGCATCAACCAGCAGCATCTGGTCTGATCATTTGCAGTGTTTGCAGCCTAAGGATGTGATCAAAGTTTCTAAAAATGTTTGCCCAACCATCCTAGCTTCCCATGTTGAACCAAAGAGTGGGTCCAGGAGATGATTAATGCCTTGAAAGAGGTATTTATGCAGCTTCTTTTCAGATGAAGAAGAAGGCTCTGAAGACCTGCCTTTTTGCTTCCTTTAATATAATCTGTGGGCTGCTAGATCTGTTGGTGTAATTTGTTTGCATAGTCTTTCAGTGGATATTTGTTGCCTATTTGTATGCTTTGTAAAAGCTTTGGGAAGATTTACTCTTAAAGGCAGCCTAAAAGTGTTTAGCAAACAAAATTTGCTATCCTCACTAATTCCAGAACACTGGAACAAGTATTGGCCAGATGCAAGTCTTCCCTTTTTCAATAATGGGCTTGGGAGGGTAGTGGTGGCCCAATTCTGGTCACAGATGGATGAAACAGATATTTTAGAGGAGGAAGCTGAAGCTCAGGCTCGGGGGCCAGATCTGGCCTTCCAGTAGCCCCAGTCTAGCCCTCTCAGTTTCTCCAGAAGGCCATGACACCTTTTGCTTACCACTGATCTTTTGGTGTTTTCCTGGCATTTGTGCTGTTTTTCTCATAAAAAGCTGGAATGCCTCTCCTAAACCTCAGTAAGAGCTTTAAAAGAGAAAGAAAGCAGACAGAAAGAAAGAGCGAGCAAGCAAACTAGGGGGGGGGGGGGAAACCCTAGAAATCCAGGCCTTTGTGCTATAGGATTTCTGCTTTCTCCATGGCACTCGAACTGTGCAGTCTGTAAGGTCCTATCTTATCCTTTATGAATGTTAACATCTAATTAAAGATCATTTGTGGATACCAAGGGAGATGCCATCAGGATGTAGACAAAACCCAACTCTCTTTCTCTTCAGAATCAGAGTCAAGTTGAACTGCTTTCTATACTCAGTAATAGTTGGGGCAACAGCCAGTAAACTGAAGCGGAATCCCAACAAGATGGAAGCACTCTGGCTTAGTGTTCCCCAGGTTCAGAGAGTCAGGGTATTACCTGTTCTGGATGGTGTACATTCCTGCTGAAGGAGCAGGAACATAGCATCATCTGATCAAGGAGCACTCTCAAACTATTTGAGACCCAAATGGCATCAGTTGTTTGGAGCATCTTTTTTCACCTTTGGTTAACTGTCAGCTGTGTTTTCTTGGATAGTGATAATTTGACCACAATGATCCAGGCTCTGGTATCTGCCAGGATGGGTTACTTGAATGCATCATCTGTGGAGTTAGGAAGCTTCAACTAGCAGCTTATTCATTTGCTAGAATTTTGCAGGCTTACCTGGATGGAACCACATTAGAGACATTCTCATAGAACTGCTTTGGCTGGCAATTCACTGAGCCCAAGTCAAGGTGTTGGCAATTACCTTTAAAGCTTTAAATAGTTTAGAGGCCAAATAACTGAAGGAACACTTCCTACCCTATCATGGTTTAAGATTATCAGAGGATGAATGGTCTCACTTTCCATCTACAGGATAAGTGCATTTACAAAAGATAGGCCCTTTTCTGTTATGGTGTCCTGACTTTGATGATGATGATAATAATAGTAATGATGTTCAGGTATGCTTGGGACCAACAATGTATTCCTTTTGATACCAGGTTAAAACCTTTTAATTCACCCAGTCCTTTAAAACAACAGCTTTTTCAGCTGGCTGCATAGTTGCATTCTTCTTAATTTTATTATGTTGTTTAATGCTTTGATTTGTATCAGTTTAAAATGTTCATATATACCACCCTGAAAACCATTTTTACATGAAGACACCGCTTAGAAATTCTCTTTAAAAAAAATTCTGCTAGTCAAAGGCCATGTGCACCGCTGGGTGCCAAGGCTTTCTCGGATTGGGTGTGTACACAGTCCAGCCCTGTCTGGATGCCTCAGTGTTGCTCAGTGGTCTGGCCTTTTCAGAGGTTTGAGGGGTGCATACAAGAGTACTGGAGTTGGGGGTATCTCTTGGCATCTTTGGCCTTGGAATCTTCATCAGAGGAAGAGACTTCTTGGTAGGAAAGTTCTTGCATGTTTGAAGCTTTGTGTGTATACAAAAATTCAACTGAGTGCAAGGAGTCTCCACATTCATGACACTTACATACACCTTTCTTTGTTGCCCTAACATAGGATCAGACATTGATGACATCATGACCTCTCTTAGAAACCAGAATATATTGACAGAGATGTTCAATGGCAGTGAATATGGATCAGTTGACTCACCCAGCACAGCATTAAATGGCAATAGTTATGTATCATTTGCTCCACACAATGCAGCATTAAAAGTATCTCATGAAGACAAGGTGAGGAGAAGTAGTGTTCTTTCAGGGACACAGAGGGCTGGAATAAACTGTTTTGTGTATCATTGTGCACATGTGGTTTTAGGGCTTGTTCTGAAGGCAGTGTTGCTGACCACAAAGCAGGTCACTGCCTGGATGGGAGGATGCCTGGAAAACCTAGGTCTCAAGTTTAAACTTTAAAATCCAACAGTGAAATATACAATGCATTCTTAGGGCATTTATGAAAATAAATTGATTCCATTAGGAAAATTTCTGCATTTTAATTAATATTATATATAATGTTTTACACAGAGAGAGAGAGACTGAATGAATGAATGAATGAATGAATGAATATAATTGAGATGGATAGGTGGATGAAGAGATTATCCCTATCAGAAGAAATATTGTAGGAATTTGGGAAAATATTTCTAGAGCTTTCTAGACTATATAACTGTATCCCAAATGAGAGAAATACTGTTCCTGGAAAGAAAAACAGAGAGATAACATTTTCTGGTGTGTCCAGTCACTACTTCTGCAGACTGATTAACAAGAGATAATCACACAGTTGCATTAGATTATTTGCCCAAGTTGGAGCTGTAATGGCTCTTCAGTGAGAAACATATTCAGGGCCAGTATTTGCATGCCTAATGACCTATAAGTAGTCCTGTTCAAGTCTTCCTAAAGCTACGCCAGACAGTTTACTTTGCTTCTGGAACCTAATTTCTTCAATGTCTTTTGCTGTTACAGAGCTACATGTTTACTGCTGCTTTTAACCGTACCATGGTTCATTCTTTACCTGTTATGATCAATATCATTAGTAACCTGTATCTGCATAACTTAAATGTAACAGAAAGCATCCATGTCTGGAGCAACCCTTTCTTCCAAGTAAGTGAGTGTAAACCCCAAAGGTTGATACTGTACATGGCAGTAATATTTTAAATGGAAGTCATAGGAAAAGTACTTGAACAGGTGATTTTTCTCAAGGATGGCTTGTTCTACTCCACATTCTGCTTCAGTTGATTTATGCCAAGTCATCAGAGTTTTCTAGTATTAGTCTTGTAAGGTGCTCATGTGCCTTCACCTTTTGTTTGTCACCCTTCCAGCATTTTTATTCCTTTCAGTTTCCTATTTGCATCAATGTATGGGCACTTCCTTGCAAAGAGTTTCTAAACTGAGAAGTGCTGCTTAAGACCCAGAGCCTGTCTGAGCAAATGAAGGTCCTGGAGCCTCAGTTAGTGTGTTGCCACTCAGCATATCTGGCTGCTTGATTCCTGTGAAATGGAGTGGCGGGGGGCGGGCACAGGATGCGGTAGCATCAAGTTGTGTAGGGATGCTGGAGAGCATACACCACATACACTATAGGGGCTGTAGGCCATATTCTCATGGCTAGCTAAAAATGCACTGCAAATAATGTTTCTCTGTGCATAATCTAAAGTACGTGCATAATCATCTTTAAGTGTATCAGTGATCAGAAAAATAGGAAATGGGGACAGATTGCTCTGTATCAAGTCTTTCCAAATTTTAAAAAGCTTCTCTAGAATAACTGTGTGTTTCTTTTTTTTTTAATTTATAAAAAATTTTTATTAAAATTTTAAACTAACACTAAACATCAATCATCAAATACATCAGACGTAGCGGGTCAGCCCCCCACTCATATTTTTTAACATTCCATAGTCATATTTAAGTCCATTTATGATAGCTTAAAAACATATTTAAATCTAAACCAGGTCCCGTTTCTCTAGCCAATAATAAAAAGAGTCGCAAGTTTGATAGAAGTCTATGTGTTTCTTTATCACCAGTGTCAATCCAGAAAATGAGCCAGAAAAATCACAACTATGAAGCTGGTGGGAAACAAGGGAAAAGTGTCAGCTCTTTCCTATTTTCCAATGCCCTTAAGAAATTAAAGTCAAATTGGAATGTGCCTGTATCTCAGCATTGCACAAGTTGCCATGTATTGTGGTCTACCAAATGTTTGACAATCCCTGTTTTTGCAGTCTTAGGCAGAGAGCTAAAAGCCCATGATGGACCCTCTGTGCATATGTTCAGGATGGCTTTTCTTTTTCATTTTTTCACTCTAAGATTGATTAACTTGCAGGAAATTACTGACACGGTTTTTACATTGGTGCTATACTTCGAAGCTGTGATACTAGGAGTGATTGTTACTGGGATGCCACCATATTTTGCTATGGAGAATGCAGAAAATCACAAGGTAACATATTAAGCTGTGATTTTTTAAAAGGTAGACAAGTCTTAGGTACTGGCCTATCATAGTGCCTTTTCTGCTTATATTTGGATCATATGGATTGGTCATCTGGCTGACTTCATGACCCATATGAATTGACCTCATGCATTGTAGTGCTGTACCCTGGGACCATATCATAGTGGAGTGAATTGAAGACCAATCTATCCATGGAGCCTTTTACAGAGCTCAGCTGCATTTGCTTACAAAACACAAAGGTCTACCGGCAACTAGATACGCAGGGATGTTGAGGCTTATATATACACCCATGTGTGTCCCCCAATTCCACTTCAGCTCTACACATGAGCAAACAAATACCTTGTGTCACTAGATTCTTCTTGAATCTGGATTCATTTCTCTGTGTTGTTTTGTGTGTCTTGTTGCAGTACAGTGAGTGGGACCCTTGATATCTCTTTCAGCCCTCCATTTCTGTGATTGTTGGATCTGTTCAGTCCTATATTGTATAGGTTCTTCCCAGATGATAGCATGTAGATGTGTTTGCAAACCAATTGAAAAGAAGAAAGAGAAAATCAAGTCTAATTGTTAGGAATACTGCCGTTCTTCATACAGCTATATGTATTTTAATGGTTTATTCTTGCACCTTTGCAGATCAAAGCCTGTACTCAACTTAAGATCTCAGGCCTTTATCCTTCTGCTTACTGGTGTGGACAGGCACTTGTTGACATTCCTTTATTTTACATTATTCTACTCCTCATGATAGGAAGTTTATTTGTATTTCACCACGGAGTTTATTTTTTTCCTGAGAAGTTTCTTGCTGTGGTAAGTTTCATATTTTTTCTTCTTTGTATTTCTTATATCTGGAATTTAATCCATCTCTGCCTAAGTATGGAGAGTAGATAAGGGTACTTCAGAAAACAGGTCTTTGTCCTGCTTACTGGCTCAGTGTGGACAGACATTAGTAGACATTCTGTTACTTTCCATTTCCATTTAGGAAAACAGTGCATTATTTAGGAATACTCAATCCCTACTAAAGTCATAAACTGTGTTGCCTTCTGGCTCCCCAGTATTGAACAGAAATCCAGCTGTGACACAGACTTCTTAGAGTACTTCCTCTAAGTATGTTTGCCCATTTGTTACTAGATGCTCCAGTCAGGAGATACCGTGAAGTGCACATTTTAGCTAACAAAACTAAGAGCTTAATCGTTTGAGTAGCAATCGTTTGATATTCTCATCTGCCAGCCTTACCAGGCAGGCATCGTACTGGGTACATTGCAGCATTTTCCGTGAACAAAACACCCATGTGTGCTTGAACACTATAAGTGTAACAGACTCTTTCTAAAGTCTGCAGAAACAAGCCGTGATTATCAGTGACCTGCAAGAGCAGTACTGGAGGGGAACAGAGCTGCTGGATGCATGTATGGATCCACAAGTGGGCAAATGAAAAGTAGGCGGAATTAAGAGCCCCAAGGGAGAAAATGGAGCACTGTTGTGTGTTTTCATGTCCGAACGCACTAAAAGCAACCCTGACAAATGTTATTTTTCTCCCTCAGGTTTTTTGCCTAATTGGCTATGTACCTTCGGTGGTTCTCTTCAATTATGTTGTCTCTTTCACCTTTAACACTATACAAAACACCAAAGAATTTTGGTCTTTCATTTTTTCAGTGGTAAGTTAAATTGTGGTATTTAATTTGCATCTCTCATTTGCCATAATTGAACATTTTTATATAAGGAAAGAATGGGTTGGATCCGGAATCCTCATTCCACCAACAAGAAAGATTTTGCTGGTAGAACATGAATTCTGTGTCATTTCTGCTGCAGCCACCTAGGGACCACCCTCCCAGATCTTCTGTGAAGGATCCCTAAACCCTATAGAGGATATTTGAGGAATTAAATTAGAATTCCGGATCCAAGCCATTATCTCCCACAATTTTTTCCCATAATTTGGGTGGGCTAGGTCCTGCGAACACACAACCCTCTTCAGGTTTTCAGTTTTCTGACTGCATGAGGATTATCCAGAACTTATGGATGAGTCCTGTCCCCTAGAAACTGACATATGTATGCTGTAAAGCTAGCCACCATGTGTGGAAGGAGCTCCTTTTCCCTCTCCCTCTCCTTGTGTCTGTGCGTGCCTGTGCAGGGCTCCTTCCACAGGGCTGGAAACTGACTGGATGAAACTAAATCGCACCGTTCTTTATTTGAATTCCTTTTCTGTTTCAGGCAGCCCTGGTTTGTTCTGTTGTCATTGAAATTGCTTTCTTTATGTGGTACTATACAGTAGCCGCTGTTCTTCACACTTGTTTTTCTGTCTTCGTGCCAATCTACCCACTTATTGGATGTCTAATTTCTTTTATAAAGGTATGTTTTCAGAGAACCTGAAATGTTTGATGCATTTTGTTTGTATATGTGCTGGGGTGGAAGTGAAAAGATAGTATTTCTCCAAATATATTATTTCCATTACCTTTTCTGAGCTACAGGAGAAATAATGGGGGTTTAATGAGTGTGGACAACCTCCTTTGCTTTACAACAAAAGTGTGACTTAGGGGTCTTTTAAAGATTGTAAGGCAAGGTGGGCTGGCAAGAAAGGCAGCAGGTGAAGAGAGGCCATCCCTTCCAGTGACAGAAGTGGGAGAACAAGCTTAGTGGGGAAGGAGCAGTAAAGGGGCTGACGCTGTCTTCACATCTGCAATAATTCTGGGATTTGGTCATATATGACTGTATCAGTTAGACATAATGACAGTATTAATATATTTGTGCAAAACCCAGCATCCACTCCCCAGTCAGAACAGATTTTGAGCGAGGGGAGGATGGGGAACAGCATCCTCAGCACCCTGTTCTACAACATAATTCTGCCAGCAGGGCAAGTTAACTGAGTGCAGCCATATCTAACTTGCTGGAAACTAAGACACAGGGAAATTTATCAATTTTCCCAGGGTGAAGCAGAAAGTCTGAGGAAACAAACAGAGCCAGAATCACACGTGCATTCAGCACATTCATTGCTGGCATCTGCCCTGCTTCTGCCAATCTGTATTATCACATGCTTCATTAAAAATTTCAGCACAGCTGTCCCATTTCTGAGGTTTGAGACCTGGGGTTTCTGACCTCAGAGCTGGCAGTCAGAATCCACTCCATCCACCATCATGGAAAGAACTGTGCCAGCTGCCTCCGCAAGGTCAGGATCACAACCTTGGAGGGTAAAGGGACCCATTTCAGTGGGCGAGGAAGGAAGGAAACTGGAGAGACCACGACACAAGCTAGCCTGAGCTGTCTTCTCCAGTCTCTATTCCTCCTCCTCTAGATAGGCAAAAAAGCCTGTCCAGCAAGTTCGCCTCTGCTGCACCTCCCACTCTGCACTGGATGCTCCTGTGTCTTTGGGCACAGCCTGTCAAGAGCACAGTCCACCGAATTGTGCTCTAAAATAATAAGCCAAATGTGGTTCAGCATCTGTCTTTATCAGAGACTTACAAGAACACTTGGCCTAAACTCTTGCAAATCTTTGGTTAAAGAGATACAACTCCATGCAACTTAAAAGTATGACATATATAGTCATCAGAAAAGTTTAGCAACAGCTACCAATACAGATGAAAATTGCATAAAATATGTTTTCCTTTTCTTTCCAAAAATAGTTTCAGGAATAATTGTCATAGAATAATGTAAGTCCCTTAAATGTCACTTTAAGACAGGCTCTAAGGCTGAAAAGATGAGTGAAGAAAGAACAGTTACTGTTTTTTATACATAAGAGTGAAGGAAAACATTTAAGCTCTCTGGGCAACATCCACAGAATGATGAAACAGAGATCTTCCTCCAACAGTGCCTGTGTGTTGACAGTTGGGTTTGATGAGAATTAGACATGCCAGATTTTCCTTCTGTGTAGAGTTGCCAGCTAGATTGTATTTTAAGGTTTGTGTTTAAAATCAGTATGATAAAACAGTATGATTAACCACATTCACTTGAATACGCTATAGCTTTGTAAGCAAACTTTATCAAAGCTTTTGGAAAATCATATGAATATATTTCCTGAATTATAATAGTTTAAATAAATTAGATTGAGCTGCAAAAACATTAGAATTATAAAAATAAGAATTTACTATTTTATTAGATAGCGCGGAAACTTGATCACAAGATGGAAAGACACTCAGAAAGATTGCTGGTTTCTGTAGTAGCGGTAAGCACCACATTTTTCTTTATGATACAGGAGATTGGTTATCTGAGGACACTTTTGAAAGTAATGGGCTATTGCATACATTTTTTAAAGTAATGAGAAAATGTTGCTGCTTGTTATGAACATTCTCATTTATACTTTGGGCAATGGTATCATATTCCTACATAAAATGTTTTACATGACTTGATTATATGCAGCACTGCAATTCATGCTAGAGTGTAAAAATCTTTTCAGCTGGAGGGATCTAATGGTTATTAAAGAGACACTCCTTGAACAAGATGCTCTTGAATCATTATCCATGCTTTGCTAAGACTCGGTGAATTGTTGCTGTTGTTACTATTGTTATTATTACAACATTGCATTTATATCCTGTTTTTTTGCCTCTTGTGAGGAACCCGACTGCTTACATGGTTCTCTTCCACTCCATTTTATTTTCACAACAACAAAAACAACAACCCTGTGAGATGGGTGAGGCCGAGAGTGAGTGCCTGTCTCTGAGTCACGGGTGAGCTTCATGGTCAAGCAGGGCCCCCACCTCCCCAGACCAACACTTTAGCTTATGACACCATACTTACCTGGGAAAAGCCCTATTACACTCAGTGGAATTTATTTCTTAGACATATATAAGATTGTGAGCTTAAGTGGAATTTGGTGGATGGTGGAGGACAGGAAGGCCTGGAGGAATGTTTTCCATGGGATCACAATGGGTCGGACACGACTTCGCGACTAACAACAACAACTGTTACTTTACCTGGGTACAAAAAGAGTAGTGGTAGGGTGAAAGATATAGCAGTATTTTTAGTTTGCCGCAAAACTTCCTTGGGATTTTCTGTGCCGATAAATCAAGTTTTAAAAAAGTAAATCTTTTTGCTGTCTATATTATCATTCAGAATACATAGAAGTGGTGAGTTACACAATTTTCAGATTTAGGAATAGAGAAGAAGGCAGTAATTTCAGGACACCTTTGATGGAACAGGGTTCTTATGTCCACTCTTCTGTTAGAGCCTTATTCAAATGTGCGAGCAGCTCATACCACCTTTTAAATAAGAGCTAATGAGATAGCAGTCTTGCTCTGGGGATGTGTTCATGATTTTGCATTCATGACATGGTCATGAGGAATTATGTAAAGAAGCAGCTTAGGCTGAGGCTTACAGGTCTCCTTCAGATTCACACAGCTGAGGCATAGGAACAACTAGATCTGTGCTTGTGCACTGGTGGTGCTTTTCTGATGCAGCCGGCCTTAGAGGAGCCCCTGTCAGAGAAGGAGGATTGGGGTTCCATGCAGAAGCCAGCCGTACCAAAGATGCTGGGCAGCCTGAAGAACCTCATCACAAGCATGTCCTTCCTGGGGACTTGAAGAACCTCATGGAACCACCTTGACCTCCAGCAGATGGGGCCCCCAGCTCTCTTCCTGTGGCTCCTCAGAGCATTGCTAGAGGCAGACCAGGCAGGGAGCCATCATCCAAGTGCCTGCCTGGCCACTGAACAACCTTTGCACCAAAGGACTCCTCAGGAGAAGGGAAATAACCCAGCTGCAGCTGCTGAATGAACCTCATAATGATGTATATACACTTCCAGTTTTCTCTAGGCATTTGCTCGGTTAACAGCTGTCATTGAGCTACTGCTCCATCTCAGAACTAGTAGGCTGGATCACACACACGGACAGTCCATGGGTGGTCAGGGGCAAGTGAGAGACAGCGGGTGCTCTGCCTGCAGAACTTCTGCCACCTCTGCTTTTACCGAGCAACCCACAACTGGCTCCTTTGTAAGTTTCTGTCTTGTCTGAACGTGAATCCCTCTGAGGGTGTTTTTTTAGGAACTAAGGCTTAATTCAGCAACAAGCCATGCATTGATTCCTAGCTTGTTTAGCCACTAAGCAACCCATTAGTCTGGGCTTGGATGACATGCTCAGCAACCTTCGCATTTATGGGTTGCTGGGTAAAAACAGAAGCAATGAGCAGGCAACAGCCCATGGATGGTGTAACACATGGGCTGACAGTATGTGTGAACCAGATTATGTTACGCTGGACCTTGCCACCACTGTGACATTTTAATGCTGTTACATATAGGGAAAGGGATATATATAGGGAAAAGGTGGATACAGCCTGCTGATAATGTTTTGCTCTAGACACAGCCTTCAGCTTGGTACAGAGAGGAAACAATGCCACGCCAGATGTTTCAGTAACACTCTACTCTAAATACCTTTTTTCAGGTTTCGCTTGATTTGCTCTTACTTGTAAATGCAGATACAGTAAATGAGTAAAGCTGTTGTAATTTACTTTTCCTTTTCTTCCTTTTAGCCTTATTTGCAGTGTGTAATTTGGCTCTTCCTTCTGCGCTATCTTGAGGTGAAGTGTGGAGGCAAATCAATGAGACAGGACCCATTTTTCAGGTCAGTGTGTCCGGATTTTCCTTTGAAAGATCAGTACTGACATTAGTGCACCAGATCAGGGTTTGCCATCAGTAAACTGCACTGAGGCTGCAGCAAAATTCTGTTTCTTTTGTACAATGGCAATTATCCTCACTTGAAAAGTTGAGTGATCTAATGTAATTATTTGCCCTGTTGTAATGATGAAGGATTCCTAGCCAGAAATAATAGTGAAAACTTAAAAAGAAAAATAACTCAAAATTAAATTAGTATTTCAGGTCAGAGGCTGACTATAGGTTTGTCCCACTTAGCCATCTATCTTTGCTTAGACTTTATATGTAATTTTGCATTTTTTATTAAAGGGAGACTGAACACCATAGCACTAGACAAGTATCACAGGGAGAAAAAAGCCTTCTCAAAGTAGACAGTTGTCAGGCTGAAAAGAAACTCATTTAACATAGTTTCCTCTATTGAAAACCACATGAAATTAGTTTATTAAATATGAAATTGCAAGAAAAATACATTGTCAGGTATGCATGTAGGATTAACAATGTGCCACAAGATATTTCCAGAATATTCCAGGCTGGATGTTTGAAAGCCATGTTTACATGACGTGTTTCTCAACATTTTTAGCACAATTCCCACTCGCCCACCCTGCACTGCCAGAGATACTCTGTCTTCTAGAGAACAGTCTCCACATCCCATCCTTCACGTGCCATCTCACTGCTCGGTCAATTCTTGAATGCTGCAGATTAATTTATGCTGCTACATGTGCAAAATCAATTTGGAATTTTATTTGAGAGTATTATTTTATGACTTTAATACATCCAGGTACTTATTTACTCTAATAGGAACACTAAGCCATCCTTGCCCATTCGTTTGTCCTCTCCCATCTGGCAAAATAGCCCTCCTGCTGCGGTAGGCTGAGAGAGCAGCAGCTCTTTCGGTTGCCCCTTGGAGGGCTCAAGGCTTAGCAGGGAGACAGAAAGTTGTTCTGCTCTTCCCTCAGTGGTGGGTGACCCTGGAAATCCCAGGACTTAGGAGCCCCCTGCAGTTACCTGTGCAGAGCCATTTACTTGAAGGCAGCTCCAGCTCACTGCCCAAGCAGCTTTGCCCAAGGGCGCATCACACAGAGGAACCCTGGCAGGCCTCCAGCAGTAGAGCGGTGCAGTTTCCATGGTCCGGCCTTCTGGCCAGGCAGATTTGCCTTCCCCTTGTGGCTGCATCAGTTCAGAGCAGACCTGTTTCCCCATCCTCAGAACTCCTGTGAAACTCAAGCCCTGGAAATTTCCAGAAGTGCCGCATGATGAGGATGAGGATGAAGACGTGATGGCCGAGAGGCTGCGGGTTAAAGAGATGACAACCTGCCAGAGCTGTGAGGAGGTAAATCGCTCCCCTTTGTCTTCGTGCTCAGAATCTCTCTGGCGCCAGATCCTGTTATGAAGGAACGGGCACAAGGGGTGGTTTGCCTGGCCCCGTGGGCACTGGCATTGCTATACAGAGGTGCAGGCCAGCGCATGGGGAGGGCACCAGGTTGGGGAGGGCTCATGCAGAAAGCCTCAAAATACTGAGGAATATGAGGTAGGCTGTGTGCCCTGTGGTTGTTTAATGATAGTGTCCATAGCTCCACAATGACAGAGGTGGCTGAAGGTCATCTCCACCAGCACAAAGAGATTTCTCTATGCAACCTCTGAAATGGGAAGTGTGTGTGTGTGTGTGTGTGTGTGTGTGTGTGTGTGTGTGTGTGTGTGTAGAGAGTGAAATGGCGAGATGTATAATTCTGACATTAACTAACTGGGATTTGCATTATGTAATCAAACTAAGTCAGTATTAACGTCTGCATTATCTTTTGTTTTATCAGAAGCCAGCAATTTTGGTTAGCAGTTTGTATAAAGAATACAATGAAAAGGCAGATTTTCTTATTAGAAGAAACATTAAAAAAGTGGCAACTAATCATGTTTCTCTTTGTGTAAAAAAAGGTTAGTATTAAATGAGTTGCTACCAAATCAAATTTAAAAAAAAGAGATATGTCATCTTGTTAAGTAAACCTGCAGGATTTTCACGTGCATTTTTCATGTGTATTTTTCTTCTGTAGGGGAAATTCTGGGAGTATTAGGGCCAAATGGAGCTGGGAAGAGCACACTGATTAATATTCTTGTGGGAGAAGTTGAACCAACTTCAGGCCAGGTATCTGACTGCAAACAAACTTCTGTGGCTCCCCTTCCTCCCATGCATATTTGTTAACCATTACAGGTGTATCTAGAACAACTTCTACAGCTCATGCAATAGTTCTTTCCTGGTTGACGAAATTGATGTTTCACACAGAGGCTATATGTTTTTACTAGATAGTATATGCAATGAAATACTACTAGAGGCTGGCATGGAGACTTACTAGCTGGCATGGAGACGTTGATTATTAGTCACCATATAGCTGACTAAATAGTGCATGTGAAGAGTGATGTACCTGCATTTGGAAATGCACATGTGTATGAAGTCTCAGTATGTTGTCTCTTGTGGTTTAGCAAACAGTTTTGGAATTACATAATGGAAAGAAATCTATGAACTGACTACAAAATATGTGGTTGAACTGAGTAAAACAGCACTGAGAGTTATGAACATGCTCATATGATCACCTTGATTCCTACAACATTGCATTGAAGAGTAAAGAGGAGGGCAAAGTGGGGTATTTGATTTGCAGGGAAATCCCGTAAAAGTATGCTTGGAAGCTTGTCCCAGTGAGGTCAGGTAAGTGGGTATAAGATTGCAGCTTTACAGTCAAAACCTAGCCATTGCAGACAAAAACTGGACCTTGAATGTTGCAAAGGGCAATCCTGAACAGGAGAGACAGCCTAATATACAAATGTGTGATCATATAGTAAAAATAGGCTGAATAAAATCTTGAGCTAATATTATTTGTCGTTATTTTAGTTTTCATATTACCAGCTTTAAATGCTTTCCTGCATCTTGCCTGCAAAGATTATATAAAGATATTGAATAAAGGCTGGTATATTCACAGGTGCTGATGGGAAATTATTCTTTAGGTGAGAATGAAGAGGAAAATTCAATGAGATTTGTGGGATACTGTCCACAGGCCAACCCTCTTTGGCCTGATATCACATTGCAGGAACATTTTGAAATTTATGGTGCTATCAAAGGAATGAGTGAGAGTGACATGAAAGAAGTCATAAAATGGTAAATGTTTCATTTTAAACTGCTTACTTGTTTGTGCATTAGGTATTATTTTTCTTTCTTTTATTTTACTATTATATGGGCTACTTGAAATGGCCACCAGTTGATTGTTTTATCATGCCATAGAATGGAGATTTTTATATAAAGGATAAAGTGCAAATTATATTCAGACTAAAGCTATGTAACCTGAAAAAGTACACCATTCTCATTTTTTAGGAATAATGTATGTGTTTCTTGGGATTATGCACTCTGCTCACCAGTATCTCATGTGTCCTCATTTGCATAGTATACTTTTTTCTGTTCTTTGTTCAGAGTACAAAGCACTTTCTTTCTTCAAAATATATCCTTATTCCTACTTGCCTAACACAGAGTGCACTGCTTATTTACAAAATATAAGGGATTTTATCAAGTATGATGAAGTCACTTGTGTGATGCTTGCTATAGTTTTAGAATACTCATAATGGAGTTTTTCTTGCCATTTTCCAGTATTTTTAAAAAAGCATGTATACATTTTACCAAGTGTACTTTTCACATTTGATGACTGTGGTTGAAAAGAAAGGTGAACCAAAAAGGGAGAGTCATGGTAACATTTGCATGACATGTCAACCTATTTTGGGCAACAAGAGATGGGAACGGCAAATAGCATGCTGCCACCATGCTGCGGAAGGATTCAGCCTTCTTCCATTCGGACCCTAATGAACACTTTGTAAATGAGTATCAACTCTGGAGAGCCCTTCACTTAAAAATCATGTTCATGATGCGGATGTGTGCAGTTATAACAGAAGTGTTGAGCTGCCCTAAATCTCAAGGGGATGGACAATCCAGTATGGATGAGGGCAGGGAAAAGGAATGAATTAATGCTAAATCCATCACCTTTCTTCCTTATCAAACAGCTTTCACCTTGTACTGTTCTATCTGCTGTACAGGCAAATCACATAAAACTAATCAGCACTGTTAAAAAGAAACATAATAAGCATATTCTGATGTTTTAAAGTTACTTCAAAATGATGCTTTAGGATGTTTACAGATGTAATAGACCTCTTTCAAAACTACAAAACTGCATTTGATTTTCTACAGTATTTCTAGTGCACTTGACTTCAAGGAACATCTACAGAGCAGAACAAAGAAAGTTGGGGCAGGAGTCAAGCGAAAGGTATTTTATTGTTCAAAGATGGATTTTTAAAATTCAAGCTAAATGAAAATAACTAATAATGGGGTGACCATTTGGCTATTCAAGCATCTCTCTCAAATTGCTGCAAGCAGAATTGAGGTGGGCACAGCTCAAACCCTTTCCCCCAGTATTTTTATTATTAATTAATTAATTAATTAATTAAAACATTTCTATGCCGCCCCATTCGCCGAAGCCTCGGGGCAGCTCACAACATAAATTAAAATACAAGAAGTAACAATATAAATATGAAATAAGTCGCCCTGGCCAGATAAAATAAGCAAATAATATTAACAATTAAAATGCCGTTTGAATAAAAAGGTCTTCACCTGGTGCCGAAAAACAAATGACGGCGCCAGGCGGACCTCGCTGGGGAGCGCATTCCATAGATTGGGCTCCACCGCAGAGAAAGCCCTCCTCCGAGTACCTACCCTCCTAATTTCTTTCACGGAGGGTTCCCAGAGAAGGGCCTCTCCCACAGATCTCAGGGGGCGGGCGGGTGTATATGGATGTAAGCGCTCCTTAAGGTAACCAGGACCCAAGCCGTTTAGGGCTTTATAGGTCATCACCAACCTATAGGTCATCATAAAAGATTTGCTCTTCTAAGAAAAGCATTTGTACCTCTGGAGTTTTGACTATCTTAAAGTGCAATCCTGCGCTCCCCAGAAAAGTATCCAGAGCCCATTTGATGCTGTAACCTGCCCTTCTGGTCCAGCAAGAGAGGTTAATGTGCCAAATGGGAGGCCCACCCACTGCGTTCTTCCCTCAACAGCATCAGAACTTTCCACCACTATAGCTAATGTGCCAGTGATAAAGACAGAAGAGAAGCATTCTCAAGGCATGTTGGTGATGGCTCATAAGGGTATCCCTACTTAGAGTAGATTGAGACTTAAGTTAGTCATGACCAACTTAAGCCTCATTCATGTCATTGGGTGTATTCTAAGTAGGGCAAAGATGGGATCCTACCCAAAGAGCTGCAAATTATTTTCTGCTTGGAAGCCTCTGAGCTTGGAAGCGTCTGAGGTTCCTGTGGCATGCTGGTAGGGTGGGAAAGACAGCTTGCCAATTTTTAGAGTAATTAGCCATCTGAGTAGTCTTTTATTTTCTTTCCTCTTCCCCCCCTTTAGTTATGCTTTGCTTTATGCATGCTCGGGAACCCTTCCATTACTCTGCTAGATGAGCCATCTACTGGTATGGACCCTACAGCAAAGCAGCACATGTGGTGAGTACCAGCCGATAGCAGGAAACTGTTGTTTCATGGAATCGCATGATATAGTTAGATAGTCAAAATTATATCCTGTTCTCACAGCATAACTGCCCGAACAGTTTTTAAAAAAGCATTTATTTTAAAATCGACACAGTGAAAGAAAATTTGGCAGCAGTGGCATCTAAAGCAGCAGCAGCAGCTTTTTTAGTTGTTTCCAGAGGAATATCCTTGTTAGCCAGTTGTAGCGAAACCAGTGAAGCAGCTTGTCAGACCTTGAAGACTAACAAATATATCACAGCACAAGCTGCAGCCTTCCCGTGCTACAGCACCTTGGCAGCTGTGGGGAACCTGCTTCTGTGCTTGCAAGTCTCTTTGCTGCTGACTTGGTCTCCCCTTTCCTGTGTGTGGCAGGTGAAGCTTTGGGCTGTCCTGCCATCACCGCTTAGGGGATCTGAGTGGACACATGTTTACCAATGGGAGCCAAGTGACTCCTATGCAAAAGCATTGCTGCAGGAGCTGGAGGAAGGATGGTGGGGAGGTAAGCTTGTGGGAAGAAGAAGGACAGAGCCATTGAGAAGGAGAGGAATGGAATGGCCGTGGAGAAACGTGTGACCCTGCATCGGTGAGGAACTTAAAGGTGCAACCAACAGGGTGGGCAAAGGGAGCAGAGTGACCACATGGCAGAGGAAGAGGAAGAACACACCCAGGTTAAACTACAATATAATAAATGTGTTAGGCTTTAAAATGTCATGAATTCCCTTTTTAATGGAGCTGTAGTTTTCTCCTCAGAATGCCCAAGAAAAAAATTTGGGGGGAAAAAATGAGTTGTCTTAAGGAAGCTTAGCTGTTGCTGTACAAGGAAAGGGTTTCAAATTAAAAAGACCATATCTACAGATCCTTCTCCTCTCAGTCATCAAGTTAAGGGTTATTTTTGAGAGGGCTGCATATATAAGATTGACCTCCCTGGCATCCTTGGGAAAATGATGCAAAAACCAAGGAAAAAGCATGTGGTTGGGTTTAGATTTGTCCCTCCTTGTAACTCCAGTTTGGTGGAAGATCCAGTAAATAGTTGTGTCCCTTATATTTGATTGCAGTAAGAACCACTTAAACTTTCAGGTTTGTTTTTTCACTGAGTGTTGATTACATTTTTTTAGGAAAGCAATTAGAGCGGCCTTTAAGAGTAAGCAGCGAGCAGCCATTCTTACCACGCATTACATGGAAGAAGCAGAGGCTGTATGTGATCGGGTAGCAATCTTGGTGTCTGGAAAATTAAGGTACCTCCTCCACAGATTGGAGCATCTTGGGAAAAGAAATTCAGATTTCTATTTCAAAATATCTTAAAGGTACTGACTTTTGACTTTGATATTGATTTTGCCTCCCTACCTGTCTTTTCCTCTTTTCCCTTAAACAACTAACAGGTGTATTGGGACTGTTCAACATCTCAAGAGTAAATTTGGCAGAGGATATTTCTTAGAAATGAAATTAAAGCATGAGCCAGACACACAGAGGAAGGAGTATCTTCAAAGGGAGATTTTGCACATCTTTCCAAATGCCACTCCTCAGGAAAGGTAAAAAGCTGTAGTTACAAATAGTGTGGATATTAAACAAATACAGAAGTTTGGTTCCTTCCTTTGGTGAAGGTGGCTTATTATCATGAAGGCACCTTGAGATTTCGGTAGTAGGCATATAAATGGAAATATAAATAAAAAAAATAAATTATGCATTGTGTGGGGGTTGGGAAGGAAGACTGAAGCACACTGGCCCATCCCCACCAAATCTACATGAGACCCCAGAGCTTGTAAAATCTCAGAACCAAATACTGACTCAAAGGTTTTAACCATTTCAAAATATCCCTATGCTGAGAAGTCCTAGTTTTCCTGCTTCGGCTAGAGTTTAAATTTTTAATATCTTAATTTCAGTCTTCCTAAATTTGGCAGTTATATCAGTAATAAAGCAGAATGAATTTAGCCCCTGAGTTCTAACTTAATGTAGAAACATAGAAACAGTGCGAGTTAGAAGGGGTCTTCCAGGCCATCTAGTCTGACCTTTGGCACCAGCTGGCTCCGCTCACGACATGCCCACCATGTGCACGTCCAGCCTATCCTTAAACACCCGCACCGATGGGGCCTCAACCACCTCCCGTGGAAGCCCATTCCACACCCTCGGGGTCCTAACTGTCAGGAAGTGCTTTCTGCCATCTAAATGGAACCTTGACTCCATTTTTGCTTATCTATTGTTTGCCTTCATGTCTTAAGTGTAGTCTCAGCATGTCATCTTCTACTGGGACAAGTGGACAAACATCAGCAATCCACACATAAAGCAAAATATTGTCAGATTTTCTGAGCAGAATTGTTAATTGTACTTCTTTTCTATAGCAACTGTTGCTCCTACTAGAAACAGGCAAAGCTTCCAAAGATGTTTGCAAGTCGGAGCTCAGAACCTCAGGTCCCTCTGAAGTCCCAGTGTGGTCCTGCAGCCTACCCACAATAGCCTAGTCCGTACCCCAACCTCCAGTTTCCAGTGCCATTTTTCCTCTGTTTAGAAAAATGGAATGACCCAGTTATTGGCAGAAGAAGGTGTGTGCTAAAATATGCTGGTATTTTGGCTGTGTACCTTGCCCTTGGCCTCACCTTTTTTGTCTTCAGACTTGTGTATCCTGGAATTCCCCCCCCCCCCCAAGAGCTTAGTTGAAATGGAATTTGGCCAATCACATAAAACCATTTTTTTTTGGGGGGGGTCATCCCTGAACCAGTTCCAGAGAAGTGATTCAAACCAATGTGTACAAATCCTTGATGAGTTATATGCCTCAAGTTTTCTCTCTAAAAGGTTTGTGAGCTTTCAGAAACTTTCTCTATAAAAGCCTTTTGACACCACATTCCTTCCTTCCACATCCATTATTTTGTAGATGAAAGAAAGCAGCATTTTAAAAGTTAAGTCCCATCTTTGCTGCTTAGTCAGACAGCATAGGATATAGGGGACTATGGCTCTGCACCATGACAGCTATGCCATGGAGTACCGCAGGGGTCCATTTTGTCCCCTTTGCTGTTTAACATCTACATGAAACCGCTGGGAGAGGTCATCAGGAGGTGTGGGCTGCGGAATCATCAGTACGCTGATGATACCCAGCTCTACCTGTCGTTTTCCACCAATCCAGGTGAGGCAGTGGCTGTGCTGAACCGGTGCCTGGCTGAGGTAATGGGCTGGATGAGGGCCAATAAACTGAAGCTCAATCCAGACAAGACGGAGGTCCTGTTGGTTGGCGGATCAGGCTTCGGAGAGGGTGAATTGAACTTAGTCCTGAATGGGGTTGCACTCCCTCTTAGGGACAAGGTCCGCAGCCTGGGAGTGCTCCTCGACCCGGAGCTTTCATTGGAAGCTCAGATGACAGCAGTGGCGAGGAGCACTTTCCTTCAGCTTCGGCTGATCCATCAGCTTGCCCCTACCTGGAATACGACTGCCTGGCGACAGTGACACATGCGCTGATGACTTCCTGCCTTGACTTCTGTAACGCGCTCTACGTGGGGCTACCCTTGAAGACGGTCCGGATACTTCAATTGGTTCAAAATAGAGCTGCCAGGCTGCTGACGGGGACTGGGCATTATGTTCACATGACTCCAGTCCTCCGTCAGCTTCACTGGCTTCCCATTGAAGTCCGGGCCCAATTCAAGGTGTTGGTGATGACCTATAAAGCCCTAAACGGCTTGGGTCCTGGTTACCTGAAGGAGCGCTTACATCCATATATGCCTGCCCGCCCGCCCGCCCCTTGAGATCTGCGGGAGAGGCCCTTCTCCGGGAACCCTCCGTGAAAGAAATTAGGAGGGTAGGTATTCGGAGGACAGCTTTCTCTGCAGTGGCGCCCAATCTATGGAATGCGCTCCCCAGAGAGGTCTGCCTGGCGCCGTCGTTATTTGTTTTTCGGCGCCAGGCGCAGACCTTTTTATTTAAATGTCATTTTAATTGTTAATATTATTTGCTTATTTTATCTGGCCAGGGTGACTTATTTTATATTGTTAATTTGTTTTATATTTTGAATGTATTATATTTTAATTTTATGTTGTGAGCCGCCCTGAGGCTTCGGCGAATGGGGCAGCATAGAAATGTTTTAAATAAAAATAAATAAATAAATAAAAATATAGCATTGGTGGACTTCCAGGACCCCTAGAAGTCCCAGGCCTGTTAAGGATACAGAATTGATCACAGTGACTTTAGTAGTCTAAGACTGAGTGAGTTATTAAATAAACCCTCTACATACATCAGCAGAAACCAGTATATTTGCAAATCAATGACAGTAAGAGTTGAGGAATAGAAGGATTTTTTTAACCATATACATAAATCTGATAGCAGGCCCTAAATGAACTTGATGGGATATAATACATTGAAAATAATATTTAGAAGCTTGTGTGTGATGTCTCAACCATGAACAATACTGTAAAGAAGTAACTTCATAATGACCTCATTGATTCATACGACCCACAACCTGCAAACATCTGTTTTGCCGCAAAAGCAAGGCATTGAAAAGGTCATTGGTGACAAGGGTGTACTCTGAGATCATTTGTTAGTAAAGGCATATTCTGCTGACTCCTGCTAGCAAGACAGAGCTCTCTACTTTGTCTTTGTTCAACTTCATGATAATGTTCATATCATATTTATAACGCTTTAGGAACCTTGAAGGATTAGGTAATTCCAAAGTTAGACATTATAAAAGATTGCTACCTAAGATACCCTGACTTTCATTTTTTCTTAGATTGTATATTTATATTTGTTTACATACTTTTGTGATGCCGTTTGGGCTAACCTATATGCCACCATGTTTCATTTAACAATGCAACAAACACCAGATTTATTTGCTCCTAGGCAAAAATATGTATAATTTTAATTTCTGGCTTTGCAAGCTTGAAGGTTTCAGTCCATTTCCCTTTTTTGTGACCATTCAATGAGTTTTTCTTCATAATGAGCACATCTATTAGACCCAAATAGGCAGGAAACAGCCTGTCACTATTCTGGTTATGTGATTAGTTGAGTACTCACAAAGGCAGCGTGTGAAGGGGTCAGTTTTCTGCTGATCAGACTTTGCAAAGTAAAGGCTTTACTTTGAAATGAGGTGCCACAGGGCTACAGCCTCAACTCGCTGGCTACCACCATACAGACTCTGGGCTGGCTGTAGGGAGAAGCTGGCCAGGTGGATGAGAACCCCCAGAAAGCACGGTGCCTGGGACTTCCTCAAACTTGGTAGCACTCTGGGTAGCATTCACCTCTCTCAATGGGGGTATCACTTTTAAAATCTACAGCTTCAGTTTGTCTTCAGTACCGAGAAGCACTGAGATTACATAAAACCATATGCTGACGTTAAAGGTATGGGGAGAACATGTAGACAAAAGAGTATTGTGGCACCTTAAAGATTAAGCATTCATAAGCATCCATGAACCATGCCACATTATGCTTGCTGCACACCACAAAGGTAGCATTTGATTGGCTTCGCTTGCTGCTGCTCACACTTACCCACCAGAAGGCTTTAATGTGAAATGCCACATCATGGGGCTGCAGCCTTAGCCAGCCATGGCAGTGGCATTTTGCTTTGGCAGCAGCGGGACAAGAGAAACAGCCCCCAGGAACAGGCAAGAGAAGGAGCAACCCACCTCACAGCCTGTTGGGTTCCTTTTGGGGTCCTCCTGAGCCACCAGGCCCCCTAGCTGCCTCATGGCAGGCCCTTGCAGCACCAGGGAGTGCTGTTAATTGTAAAAGGCTGATCCAGTGGGAAAGGGCAACAGAAAATCCATGGCAGGAGCTCCACCATTTCCTTAGCACTGCCTCCTCTTGTAGGGGCCAAATCCCCCGTTTACCTCCAGTGTGAGCAAGCACATTATGCCCGGTTGTGGGCTGGAGTCGTTTTCTGCTTTGTCTGATGGTGTGTAGGAGCATCAATGAATCGTGGAAATCTATGGGTCTTTAGTTACCCCGACACACACCACAAACTGCCCCCTTGTCAACTGTACATGGCCACCCGTGCGACAGCCACAGTGGCAGACCTGCAGCCAGCCAGGAAGGCCCTGCACTAGCAGAGGGACAATCCGCCATGTCCATCAGCAGCCTTCTCAGGACACATAAGATTGTTCCTGTGGCATGTAGCTGACACCAGCTGTTAATATCACCCTGAACCCTTGTAGTAAGTTCAGACTTTTTTTTTTCAGAAGGGCAAAATGAGTTATATACAATAATCCCCTTTTATTAGAACAGTTCCGTTTGGTTAAACATTCCAAACATGCCATATAACTAGAATGAACAAGAGCTTGTAATCTAATTATCAAGGCTTGCTGTGCCTCTTGATTCAAATGGGTCAAAATCCCAAAATAGATTGGAACTCCGAAGTCTTACTGTCCATAGGAGGGTGTTCCAGGATCCATAGGATAAAACAGACCTCTCCCTCCCTCCACTCCTCCCTCCTCTCTCTCTGTAGACAGAGATGGAAGTGCAGCGTCTGTTGCTTTCTTAATGTAGTGGCTGAAATTTCTCCTGCCATTGCTTACCCACCTTCAGTCTTGTGATGGCAATAAGAGCCCAAACAAGGCATTTTCAGGGGCAATTAAATAACCATGTGAGGTCCCAACTTCCATTAACATACCCCAGTAACAGTGGAAAAAGTGCACCAGCCTTGCTTCTATAAGCCCAGCAGGACTTTAGATTTGGTGGTTTCTGTCCCACAGATTCTAACCTTTCCCACCACATAAGGTCTTTGACTTAGATACCTTCGGAATACAGGAGAACATCTGCCTGGAGTATGTATGTATGTATGTATGTATGTATGTATGTATGTATGTATGTATGTATGTCAATGCAGTGCAAGGCAATACAATGCATAAACTGTGTGTATGTCCCTGGAAAACTTGGTTCTCTTTCTCGTCCGGAAATAGTAAACCCATCCACCCACTCTCATCTTTCTAATTTGTGAAACCTGAGAATTTTTAACCCTTCAAGAGGTTTATATCGCATGGAAAAAAGAAAAAATAACAAATTCATTTTCACTTTCTTTGCACTTTTCTAAAGATGACAGTAGATGTCACTCATGGTCTGTTAAGTAGACCTCACCCACACCGCTGTGTTTTAATTTTGCCTTTTCACGTTTAGTTCTGAGGCCTGTTCTTAACCTTCAGTCTTTTTAATTTATGGCTTATTGTACTGTTTCTGATGTTTAGCATGAATCATATCTTGCTTTTATTCCTGGTCGTCCTCAAAGCTTTTAGTTACAGGGTAGCTAATGGATATTGGTAATAAATAAGGATGAATGCACAGTCTAGCAGTTACTTGTTTTATATTCAAAGGACTGCCAAGAATTAGATTGTGATGCATTTAAGAAAAATTATTCATATGTAGAACACTATGTCTGTTCTAGTATTAATACAGTATATATCGTTATTTAAAAAGAAAGCGTGACCCTTCCTTTTTCTCACAAATTTTTGCACTTGCCTAATATTTCTCAGATTGGAACTTTATTTAGGCTCATGGGGCTTCGTTTTGATTTAGCCAAGGTGATCTTTCCCTTTATTCCATCCTGAGGCACTGTAATGTCCAGAGGGCAGATTACTCCTCCCTGTCCCAAACCTATTGTTTTTTCTATACCATAAATAGATATCGACAGAATATTTCTTCAGTCATCTGCATCCCTTCTGATTGCCAAGTATTCCATTCTTGAAAAATACTGTTGGCAGTGTCTACAAAATTCATACTCTTAAATTAAGACAATACCTTAATGTATTATGTTCTGCTCTCATTTATTTGCCCCTATATGTATTTTGTAAGAAAGGGCTTCTCTGCAAGAATTTATTGTGCCCTAAGGAGCATTTCCTCATAGAAGGCTGTGGAACCTGTCCATGGCATTGTTCCCCCCCCCCAAACCTCTACTGTGTTATATAGCCTTTCACATGGGCTTTTTCTTTAAGAGTGAAGCAGGTGCAGTATCAAATGTTAAACTGGGGCAAGCCAGAATAAAAACTCCATTGAGAGTCTCAAGAATGCTTTACTACAGCTGTATGGCAGCACTGCCTTCTGCTTTGGTTAATGCAGTATATAGAAAGGGAGAGAAATGCAAACCCAGGGGAAAAGCTCTGTGTAAAGTATGCAGTTTTCCCCTGGTAGAAGAAGGTCATCTCAGTAAATGCCTCTTATGGAGAAGCACGAGTCTCTGTTCTTGGGGTAAAAATGTAGCATCTCTGTGCATTAAATTGGTTTTTGTCTAAATATTTGTCCATATCATCTGGTATTTATTGGTATAGAAAGACCTTGCCCTCTTATTTTTGCCAACTGTATTCCATTTATAGGCAATTTAAACTGCATGTCAAAAGAAAAAGCTGGACTAATATTTTCTTTTTCATTCTAAGCAGTTGCATGACTTGCTCTTTTCACTTTTGAAAAGTAACCACAATGGACTGGACTTTTAGTGCCTATTTTCCTGCAGTGATTTCCAACATACACTCTGTTATGGCTGAGAGTAGAAGTTGAACTTCATCTTTCTCTCAGTTGAATTGGCTATTCTGTTGCCATTTTATTTGTTTGTTTGTTTATTTATTTGGGGTATTTCTAACCCCTCCAATCACTACACATCTCTGGATGGCTTACAAGAATAATTCAGTAAATACAAAAGTATAAATCTCAAATAGCCCAAACAGTAATTGTACTAATAACACTAATAACCCATAACTGGAATAAAAACATAATTAAAATTTTTAAACTTTAAAATACTGGGTAAATAAAAGGGTCTTGACCTGGCACCAGAAAGCATATATACAATTCTTTAGCAGACACTTCAGTACAGTTGTCCTTTTTTCCTTTTCTTTTTTTCTAAGTTTTTTTTAAGGTTAAGCTTAACTTAATTTTCAAATTTGGTTTTATTACCATGAGGGGTATTATTTTATATTATTTTTTAAAATCTGAACCCCCTATTTTAGGCAACAGTTGCCTCAGATGTTCTCAATAAATAAGCTTTCACACAATTTACATTTTAGGTCAAACATAAATTTCTCAGCAAACTAATAAGTATAAAACTGCTATGTAGAAAAAACATCTCTAATGTCTTTATCCACACCAAGTTACATCCAGTGTTAGCCTAACTGATGTTCCATTGATTTACATGAGTCTACTCTGAGTAGGACTAACTGATGGTAACCAATAGTGTTTACAATACATTATACCAAAAAATAAAATCAAGCAAAATAATTAAATACTATAAAAGTATAATATGCAAATAAAATATAAATCCACAAAGCCTGGTAACAACAATATAAATGACTTTAGGAAATTAAGAACAAGCCGCAGGAGTTTGCCTTCATTCACTGTGTTGACACAGTCAGTAGAAATTGTCATACACAAGAGTCATTGAGTGGTTTGTTGTGAAAGCAGTCTGACTTCTATCAGCATCACCTCTAAAATTTACACTAATGTTCTAACGATGTCATAGACATCATTTTTTTTCTACATCATTTCTAAAAGATCTTTTTAAGTTTTAAAACTCGTCTTGGCCTAAGTTTATGCCCACATTCTGCCATTTTATCTGTATTGCTCCTAAACTAGATACAGAGTTATCTCAGCTAAACTTTGTTCATCTTCAGATACAGCATTTTCATGAAAAAAATGCTGTTTACAGGAAGACTGTTACTTCCCTACTACCTTCTTGTGATCATAAAGCACTGTTCTAGTTTTTGATCCTGGGTGAGATACAGAAAGCAATTGGTTATGCTGCTGATAACAAACAAATTAGGTCAGAAGGTAAAGAGTGGTTAGGAATACGACTGCCAAGTGTGCAAGAATTTACATCTTTGTACACTTTAACTAGTTAAAAGGTATAGAATAAAAAAGAAAGTATGCTGGAATAAGAATGAATCAAGGAATAGTTTTTAAAATCATTGATAGGAACAACTGGCATTTCTGTAGATTGTACTTGCTGCTTTGTAACATCTTTCTTTTGAGTATCATGTAGCGCCTCAATTCTCTTATTATTTCAACTGGTAATTTTTAATATTTGAATGTCTCCTTAAATACCTCCTTAGAAATAAGTTGATAAAGTTGGAACAGATAAAACAAAAATAAGTTGGAACAGATAAAACATCTAGTCAGAACCAAAATACTTGTAGAGAGCAACTGCAAGATGTCAGTGTAACAAAATGTCTTTCTGAAGCCACCTGCGATTGTCATTGTTGTGACATGTGCTCTTGTCTATTTTGTGTTGCAGTTTTGCCTCAATTTTGGCATATAAAATTCCAAAGGAAGATGTCCAGTCGCTTGCATTGTCTTTTTCTAAACTGGAGGAAGGTAAGGTAGCAATTTGCGGAGTAAACTGTTTTGGTGAAGTTTCCACTGTCTGATTCTCAGGTATCCATCCAAATTCCTTGATTTCATTCTGAAATCACCCTGTCAGTGCCTACCCACATCATCATATCATCCCATAAAATCATCATATATATAAATAAAATTTGCCTCATTGTCTAGCTTAGCCTCCCAGGCCTGTTTTCACAAGCACAGTGAAGTCCTCTAATATTAGGTGGAAGAGAAATGAGAAATCAGTTTGCCATTTCCTCACAATTCAGTTTGACTAACTCTATCATCCTTAAATATTAAAGAATTCCAAAGGTTCCTACTGTTTTGCATACCTGGTGGGGTTCCCAGTCCCAACAATGTTATAGGACAGCTGGGTTCATACACCTCTGATAGACCTTTGTGCATGCGTGTCGGAGAATGTCACAAGCTCTGTGTGCACATCACCGTGCCTGCAAGCTGCAGACTAATTTGCTATTCCTGGCAGCAGAAGGAATAATACGTCCTTTTAAAGTGCACTTTTATATTAAAATACATTTTTCTATTTTGATGCTTAACTATCACTGAGGAGTAAGCATTTCTTCTTTCTAATGTTTTAACAGCAAAACATGCCTTTAATATTGAAGAGTACAGTTTCTCTCAAGCAACACTTGAACAGGTAATTTAATGAGACTTTTCTAAAAATTGTGCAATCTTACAAAGAATAGTTTTCATGGTTTTCACATTTATATTTACATGTGGTTTAAATAAAACAACTTGTCATTTGAGAATACACTGTCAGAACTAGAAGTGACTTACAGCTCCCATTCGTGCTACAGACTTTTTAAAAATAGCTTTCTAAGTACACAAAAGATTTGTAACTTAACATTCTCAGTCATTATCCCGCTGTGGAGATTTGGAACATTGTACTAACTTGGCCTTCCTCTTTGCCCACAGTTCAGCAGAATTCACATGTCGCTGTAATTTCATGTATTCATGAAATTCTTACTCTTTTTAGGTATTTGTGGAACTTGCCAAAGAGCAAGAAGAGGAAGACAGTTTCGGAACATTAAACAGCACACTGTGGTGGGAGCGAGCCCAGGGAGAGAGAGTTGTTTTCTGATCTGTTCCACGTTGTAGAATTTAACAATGTCATTCTTCAGGATTTTGCAAATTAATTGTTTCTGTTAGTTTGGTTTGTATTCTTCAGAGTGTGTGCACTGACCACTATGAACTAGAAGCGTATTCCCAAGCAATTCAGAGTATAAACAATACTGATTCCCTTTTGTAAAAATGCAAAATTACTTCCATTCACCTTATTTGCCTTACATACATCAACATCATAATTATCCTTTTAGGAGAAATTGTTCGGTAGCAGTGACAGAAGTAAGTCAACATAGGATTTATTTGGAGGGTGGGATGTACAATTTCCAGAAAGTCATATACCGAAGCGCATCAACAATACAGTAGTTGACATCCACATTATTAGAACAAGTGGTTAAATATCTGATTCTAAGCCCTTTATACATATTGCATTTTATGAAGTTTGATGTATTTTTTATCCTTAAGGTTGTTATAAGCTTTTGTTTAAATGTGGAGAAATGACACCAATCATTATCCAAAACTTACACCCACATCCCTCAAATTGCCCTTTGAACTCCTTCAACAGTAGCCCTTTCCTTCGCAGAACTAGCATGCATACACTAGTTTGCTAATATGTAATTCAGCCACACATGCAGGCTTGCAAAACTAGCCAGTAACTTTAAATATACAAGACAAAAGACAAGGGCAGGAGGAAATAGGGAGGGTGACCTACTTTTATATTGCCTCACAGATCTAGGCTAACTTGAAAGAACACTTTGTGGCATTGGTAAGAATTTTTTCACTTGAATAGTAAAAAAATGCATTGTACTTGCACTTTAAATCACTCTGAATTACTCTATTGCTTGTCATTCGACAAAGCCCAGATATATGTCCTTGTATGTACAGTGTAGCATCAGGCAACTATATTGTTTGTTTTTGAATGGTAAGTCTAAGTTGTGTCATTGTTGCAAGTTGCACAGAAGCCTATACTGCATGCACAGGTATATTTAAATGGTTTGCACAAATAAATACGTTTCACTTTTACAAATGCAAATTGTGAAAACCAAATGAAAAAAATCTCCTTGTACATTCCTTACGAAGCACATAGCATGTTAAAGCATTGCATTATCTTGGTTATTTTTTTGTTGAATTTGAACATTCAGAATCAACCCCATGTTTGGCAAGCTGACTTTTCTGTCTTCAGTTTTCAAGGTCTTTCCTTGACAGTGAAACTGTAGCCTTGTACTTATCATTGTTGTGACGATGATAACTATGGCAAAACAATAATGATTCTATTCCATTATCACTGGAATAAAGAAAATCTAATGAATAAAGGTTTATGTTTGGCACAGTTGTATTTGCACGTTATCAGTTATGACTTACTTTAAAGAATAAAGCCTCTAAAAAGGAAAAACTGGCAATCGTGTTATCATAGACATTACTAAATCCACCACAGACACATTAGGCAAAGTTGTGAAAAGTTTGGTGCATAAGGAACAAATGAACATTTCTCTCATCCAAAACACCATTGCCTTAAAATCTCAGACTTGGTAAACACATTCAGGTTACTTGTGTTGTGTGAAGGCTGTTGCTTTTGCAAGATTTTCATGCTCAGGATATCTCATGCTTGTCCATTTTCTAAAAGTGAAATTGAATTCATTCAGTAAAAGAAGGAACATGTAACCATAGTGCTTTATTATTTTGCATCCTTTTTATGCTTCAAAATGAAAATCTATTGCTAACCTATTTGGTAACCAAAATGAAAAATATATCAAATAAGTGTGTTGTGCAAAGTAGATAGTGTGTTCTTCAAACTACATACAAAGTTTTGATTTAATAAAGATGCAGTTATGCAAACTTCAGACAAATATACAAAGCATATAAGAAAAAAGCTAGAGCTGAACATGCTAATATTTATCTCTGCATGTTTCACTGAGATTTGAAACACACTCACCACATGGTGCATGTCTTTTGGATGATGTTCTCCAGTACTCAAACCATTCATCATTCCCCTCAAATGTGGCAAAGAACAGCTTTGATAAAAGATATGTTCCAAACAGTTCAACAGATGGCTCCTGTTACCTGTTCAGCAACTTTTATCATGTTGAAAGTAGAACGGGGCTGAATACAGGCCTCATCCTTCCGACCACATGGTCTAATTTTGACCTCAAGCAGGAGCCCATAGGCTCAGTGGCATATCCAACCAGGGCAGCAGCATTTCAAGCAGCCCCATAGGAGCATATTGCTTCAGCAAAATCTGGATGCCTTGTAATTGTCTCAGTCCAAAGTAGGGAAGTAATTAAGAACTATGAATGGGCTTCCCCCTCACCCCACTGCCACCCCACAAGGATCCATACTGGGATCAGTGCTTTTTAACTTGCTCACCAATGGTCTGGAATGTAGGGAACGCAATGAGATAGAGGCAGTAGTAGATGTTTAGGACAAAAAGAGACAGGGAAGAGCCAGAAAAAGGATATCCCCAAACTGGTGAAATGGACATTAAAACGGCAAATGCAATAAGCAAATGAGAAGTGATGCACCTTGGAGCAACAAATTATGACTTTACATCAAAACTCAAGGGGTCTGAGCTGGCAGCGATTGCTAGGAAAAGGGAAATTTCCATGTTGGGCATCAAAAGGCAAGGAACTGAAGATGAAACTTTCAAGACAATCATGCCTAACAACTGATGTGCTCAGACTTGGAGTACAGTGGCTGGGTGCGGTCATTGCACCTTAAAAATAATATTGCAGAGCTGGAAACTGCCAAAAAGGACAACCCAAATGATTGAGAGTCGGGCTACTTCCCTATAAGGAATGCTTACAACATGCAGGCCTTAGTATCTTTGAGAAAAGACATTTAAGCAGAGGTATGATAAAGGTGTGTGAAATTATGCATGACGTGGAGAAAGTGGATAGGGAGAGTTTTACTAATCCCAGTGGGATTAGTACTTGTTGTCAGTGATGAAGCTGAATGATAGGAGAGCAGATAAAATGAAGTGCTTCTTCACAGAGTATATACCTTAACTATGGCCTTCACTACCTTGAGCTGCAGCAATAGCCACCAGCATTCTTACGTAGAAAGAAATTAAATTCAAAGATGATAATGGCATCCATGGCTACCAGTCACTGTGGCTATGTTTTGCCTCTCGTATCGGGCAGCACACTTTTCAATATGACTTGCTGTTGCCCTCGCGTCCCCTGTGTGGGTTTCCTGCAGGCATCTGGTTGGCTACTGTGGGAACAGAATGCATGACGAAGGTCCAGGAGTGGCTCCCGGAAAGCACAAACCCCAGCCTAGAAGCAGGCCCAGCTATGTCTCTCAGGTCCCTGCTTGGAATTGCTGCCTTCACCATTACGGAAATGTTGCGCGGCAAGTGATGCCCTGTTCCTGGAGGAACTGGGCATGGAGAACACGTACGAGGAGCTTGGCTTGAGTTCTGCAGGCTCACAGCTGTGAGGTTCAGTATGTGGACCTAGCTGTGTGCTTCAGTTGTCTGTTTAGCAACAGCAGATTTGGCCAGATCATGCCTCTAAATCTGAGTTGGGAGCTCACTCAAGGCCAAGGCCACAACAGGGGAAAAGGCTGCTCCTCAGGAAAAAAAAAAACGGTGTTGTCAAAAACAAGTATATACATAGTTTGCATAAAGTAGAAGACACCAGACAGCAGCTTGTTGGTCTGGACACAGCGATCCAGCAGTGCATGCGAACTTTGTTCACAGATGCTTCTGACCCAGCATGGAGTTCCTAAAATTAGCCCTACTTAAAGTAGATTCATTAAAAGGAATGGGAGCTGAGTAAGACTAAAACTTGATACAATCCATGGATATTGCATAGTGCTGAATGTGGCCTTCACCCACTTGCATAAACTTTCCATGAAAAGAACGTTTCCAAATGAAAACATTCCATTTTCAGATACAGCATACTTGTTCACCATTGCAAATACTATGCTGTAATTTTAAAGCACAGAACCAACTACAAAGCTTGAAAAGAAGAGCTGTACTTCCCACTACTTTGCGTATAAAGTAAAAGAAATAGTGTGCTGTTGACTCAGATACCATCCTTTACAAATAAAATACAGCATATTTAGACTAGCATGTAAAGGGTGTTTGACAGAGGCAGTGTGCCTTCCTTTGGTATCTTGCAGAACAGGAATGCACAGCCTATGGGCCACATAATCTCTGGAGCTGGCTGGATTGCAGCTTTACTGCTGCTTAATGGTATGACCTAAATCATATCCCTGATGAATATACAATAGAGGTTACAAATAGATGTAAGGAATTAGATTTGATAGACAGAGTGCCTGAAGAACTTGGAGGTTTGGAACATTGTACAAGAGGCAGCAACTAAAACCATCCCAAAGAAAAAGAAATGCAAGAAAGCAAAATGGCTGCCTGAGGAAGCTTTACAAATAGCTGAGGAAAGAAGGGAAGCGAAAGGCAAGGGGGAAGAGGAAAGATACACCCAACTGAATGCAGAATTCCAGAGAATAGCTAGAAGAGATAAGAATGCATTCTTAAATGAGCAGTGCAAAGAAATAGAAGAAAACAATAGAATAGGGAGGACCAGAGATCTCTTCAAGAAAATTGGAGATATGAAAGGAACATTTCATGCAAAGCTGGGCATGATAAAGGACCAAAATGACAGGGACCTAACAGAGGAAGAAGAGATTAAGAAGAGGTGGCCAGATTACACAGAAGAACTATACCATAAAGAGCTTAACGTCCCTCATAACCACAATGGAGTGGTCACTGACCTCGAGCCAGACATCCTGGAATGTGAAGTCAATTGGGCCTTAGCACGTCTGAGCAACAACAAAGCTAGTGGAGGTGACAATATTCCAGCTGAGCTATTCAAAATCTTAAAAGACGATGCAGTAAAAGTGCTACACTCAATATGCCAGGAAACTTGGAAAACTCAACAGTGGCCAATCGATTGGAAAAGGGCAGTTTACATTTCCATCCCAAAGAAGGGCAATGCCAAAGAATGTTCAAACTACCACACCATTGCACTCATTTCACATGCTAGCAAAGTTATGCTCCAAATCCTACAAGTTAGGCTCCAGCAGTATGTGGACCGAGAACTACCAGAAGTACAGGCAGGATTTCAAAGAGGGAGAGGAACTAGAGATCAAATTGCCAACATACGCTGGATCATGGAGAAAGCTAGGGAGTTCCAGAAAAACATCTACTTCTGCTTCATTGACTATGCTAAAGCCTTTGATTGTGTGGATCACAACAAATTGTGGCAAGTTCTTAAAGAGATGGGAGTACCTGACCATCTTATTTGTCTCTTGAGAAACCTATATGTGGGTCAAGAAGCAACAGTGAGAACTGGACACAGAATCACTGATTGGTTCAAAATTGAGAAAGGAGTTCGGCAAGGCTGTATGCTCTCACCCTGCCTGTTTAACTTATATGCAGAGCACATCATGAGAAAGGCAGGGCTAGATGAATCACCAGTTGGAATTAAGATTGCTGGGAGAAATATCAACAACCTCAGATATGCAGATGATACCACTCTCATGGCAGAAAGTGAAGAGGAACTAAAGAGCCCCTTGATGTGGGTCAAGGAGGAGAGCGCAAAAGTTGGCTTGAAACTCAACATTAAGAAAACTAAGATCATGGCATCCGGTCCTCTCACTTCCTGGCAAATAGATGGGGAAAGAAATGGAGGTAGTGACAGATCTTATTTTCCTGGGGTCCAAGATCACCGAAGATGGGGACTGCAGCCAAGAAATAAAAGACGCTTGCTCCTGGGGAGGAAAGCTATGGCAAATCTAGACAGCATACTAAAAAGCAGAGACATCACCCTGCCAACAAAAGTGCATATAGTCAAGGCTATGGTTTTCCCAGCTGCAATGTATGGCTGTGAAAGCTGGACCATAAGGAAGGCTGAGTGCAAAAGGATTGAGGCCTTTGAATTGTGGTGCTGGAGGAGACTCCTGCAAGTCCCGTGGACTGCAAGGCGATCAAACTGGTCAGTCCTAGAGGAGATCAACCCTGACTGCTCTTTAGAAGGCCAGATACTGAAGATGAAACTCAAATACTTTGGCCACCTAATGAGAAGGAAGGACTCCCTGGAGAAGAGCCTAATGCTGGGATCAATTGAAGGCAAAAGAAGAAGGGGACGGCAGAGGATGAGGTGGCTGGATGGAGTCACTGAAGCAGTCGGCGTGAGCTTAAGTGGACTCCGGGGGATGGTGGAGGACAGGAAGACCTGGAGGAATGTTGTCCATGGGGTCGCGATGGGTCGGACATGACTTCGCGACTAACAACAACAACAATGGTGAAGGAGGGAAAAGAGGCAGAGCTCAGGGAATATACCAGGAAGGACACTGAAAAGAGGCAAAGATCTCATTTGCAAGTCAGGGGGTTGGCCCTTTCAGAATCTCCATCCTTCCAGCAAAGGGGCAGAG